GTCCAAAAATTTTGCAGATTAGTTATAAATATATTTTCTTCTTCAGCCAATTTTCTTTGAATATTTTTCTAATGAAACCGGCACATACTGGCATTATCAGCTCACTTGTCAGATCAGTCGCAGGCTCTTGTGAACATGGTAATGAACCTTTGGGCTCAATATAAGTTGGCAAATTCTAGGGTAGCTTAACTACTGGTGGCTTTCAAGACTAAGCTGCATGGAGTTAGTCAATCAGTCAGTCAGCTCCCATAGCATCCCATGACACATTCAGGTGACGTGCAACACCGGCACAGCACTATAACTACTAAACTTCATGGAGCTGAACCCTTCTTGAAAGGCCACCAGTTGTGCAGCTACTCAAGAACTTCCCAACATTTTATGGAACCCGAAGGTTCATTACAATGTTCACATGGGCCCTCCACTGGTCCCTATCCTGAACCAGATCAATCTAGTCCATACCATCCCATTCTAAGTCAAAGTCAAAGTCACATTGCAACTGACGGTCAGTCAGTCAGTCAGGCAGTAAGTCTTGGTGCCGAGCCCCATCTGGAGCTCATGACCAGATATTTATTACTGTTTGACAGTTACTTTCTTGTTTCTGTGGGGTGCTATCTCTGATGAGAAGATGGGTCTGTCTTTTGTATATGCTGCTGGCCCTTGCCAGCGTAGTCTTTCTTGGGTTTGAGTCCCTTAGTACTCGCGACCATATTTTACTGTTTCAGATTTGAGACTTCTCTTTTCGTCTTCCTAGCGGTCTCTTCCCTTCTGACTGTCTAGCTTCAGTCATTTATTCAAAGAACGGCACAGCACTATATTTCAAGCAATGTCCTGCCTAGCGACGTGACCTAACTCTGAGGAGTGGGGGGAGGGGGTGCACACAGTAAACATTTCCATAATTGTGTAGTGACTCCTCTGAAATACAGGCTGCCAACTCAACGCTTATATACTACAAAACCCTGCGACTCTAGGTCATTCCAAAGCCACTGCCAGAAAGCAACCAGAAAAAAGAGCAACCACTTACTTTAATCATGACACCTTGCAGTCGAAGTTAATGTTGCAGCTGATGATGCAGATGCTGAAGCCTGAAGTTCATAGTTAGCACATGACACCGAATGATATACGAAAACAGTTTTATAGCACATTTTGAAATGATGATTTCATTTTGATCACTGCACTGAATCTGCATCCTATACAACTCCATGTATCATTCTTTTTCATGTTAACTGAATTACAGTTTCTCTACACACCTAAATCACCATTTTAAAAAAGTGCAGTAACACATTTGTATCTAAGTGCTCGTTGAACACACTGATCCGATCCTCTCGTTTATATCACTTCCCTATGTTACACTTAACACATAAGCCTTCATTTTGCGTGAAAACTTCACTGAACTTGTAGCTTTCATTTCTCCCAGGGGATCCACCTTTTCCATTGAACACTTCACGACATATTTTGAAACTTATGTAACTTCATTAGCTTTGTTAAGTATGTCATGGTATTCCCCTCAGCTTATAAAAATGAATTTAAAAAAATTAAAATTATGTGTAAAATCAAATGGTGAAGAAACAGAATTTAAGGAGATGCACTAAATAAATATGTTGTGAGTATTTTTTACACTCTTTAAAAACAGCTTGAAATATGTATGCTCAGTCATTGCCTGCTCTTAGTAAAGGCTGTACTGAACTTGCATACTTCTAATTTAAATAAAGCCAGTCTTTATATGTAATCATTCAACCAAGTTCAGCCTTCTCTCACCTGAAAACTAGATAATTTTGGTCATACATGATTAGCTATATTTATTCTATTTAATTCATATTCCCTGAATAATTTTAATTTATTTTCATTTTAACATTATGAAATGTTGATTAGTGAGTTCTATAACACTTGGGGCATGGGACTGATGTCTGGCTATAACAGATAATTGAAAACATATTAACATTTTGAAGCCACGTTTTAGAAACTGTGTCAAATATTCACTGAACAAACTTTTTCATATCCCTTTAAGTATGAGGAAAAACAGAAAGACCAGCCAAGATCATAGCTTTTTGAGATATGTAATATTAATTTGGATGAATAAAACAAAATACGGTGAAGGTTGGGGCAGTGGAGAAAACCCTTCTTAAAGTTTCTCACTGAAGGAGTAGCAAATATGAATGTAATGACTTTATTCATTTTCCTACTGCTTTCGGGTTTTTTTTTTTGTTGCAAAATGAGGTAACAGAAAATTCATGGAGTATGTCTGGTCAAATATCTGTTAAGCAACTGTTTATCTTTCAGCCCAGTGTTTCTTTAAGTTGTCTGATATTTTAGTTCAGAGTAAATGTGGAGGTTGTGGGTGCTTTATAGAAAAACAGAGGATGAAGTGCAGGTCATACACTGCTGTACTTACTCATGGAGCTGAGCCCTTCTGGAGGAGCCACCAATTCTGCAGCTACTCAAGAATTTCCCAGCATTTTATGGAACCCGAAGGTTCATTACCGTGTTCATAAGAGCCCTCCAATGGCCCATATCCTGAGCCAGATCAATCCAATCCATAACATCCCATCCTATACATTTTCTTTAGCCTACAACATTTATTGCTTTGTGTTCATTTTCATAACAGGCTTATTTTTATGGTTGTTAGCCTCACGCCTAATCCCCAAGCTGGAAGACCACCCCTTTTCGGCTGTCTGCGACTGCTTATTCAATATATTCGCAGCTTCCCTCCACGCTGTGTAGTGGAAAATAACCGGTATGTCTGTGATTGAAGTATGCAACACATATTTCCACCCTGAACCTAAATAACGCTTCCTACATCTCTTGCGACGAAATTCGTTTCAAACAAACCATCAGACAGAAGAGTTCATATCACGCAATGCGGATGTTAATGAGTAACTTTTATTCATTTGCAGAGCCGTTCGCCCAGAATACTGAAACCATTCTTAAATTTATCAGTTCTATTGTATTGTCACCAAACCTCCTCAGAAATATTGTTTTTATAGCATAATTTGAGTTCCAAATTTTAATTTATAAAGATCGGTTTCGAATCCGTGCGACTTATGTATGCGGCATTTGATTTCGCGCGAATCCCCAATCGACTGTTTCAACCACAGAAGTTACAACCGTGTAGTTGAAACGGTGGCTACATAGAAAAGGATGTTTGACAGGCTGGACAGTATTTGAAAAATTCAGATGTACACCGGTTTTTATATGTCAGCATATTTTATACGAATTTTGACTTAGAAGTATCTGTTACTTCATGGGTGTAAACTACTAGAATGGTAACATGGCTGTCGATAGTTTACGAAATAAATCGAATTTAATTCCTGTCTGAAAGATTTCAAAAGCTGTAAAGAAGAAACATACTCTAGCGAAAAGCGATCCCTACAGTACATAATTTAAATACATCCAGCTCTATTTGTTTCGTATATTATCGTCTGTAATAAGAACTGCAGTAAGCCGAATAGTTGCCTACTTAAAAATTTTGGGAAGTCAAGCATTAAATTCTAGCCGCGAAAACCTAGAGACTTGAATGGTAACATGCAATATGGTTACATCCGCCAACAGGAATATAAAAACGAATTTTAAAACTTTCTACCATTTTCCCTTTTAACTGATCTACAAGGCCTGTTGTCTCTTGCACAGCCTATAGGCTATACTGTCCATAGTATTATTTTATTGGAACTTCTGTGTGTTTGCGTGTGCGTGGGGGTTATATGCAACTGCAGATTTCAAGCAATTTTTAGATAGAATTTACTCCAAGTGTTAACAGGCTACAATTTACAAATATCAGTTGAAAATAATGAGCATGTGTACATACAATTAATTTTATTTGGAATGGATAGCTGTGCTCAACATGTCACTCTTCATGAAAAAATGCCGCGATTTTAAAGTTAATTTACATCTGAACTAATGCAAATGAATTTATTCGTGCGTTGTTGAGGGAAGCTTCACTTGCTCTTTCCTAATCTTTATATACGAGACTGATGGACGTATAAGTGCAAGAGTTAATTACATAGACTCGTGCAAAAGTAACGAATTTCAGCGTTTCAAGGCGCCTGTAGAACATTTCTATCTCTTGGGTCAAAGTGTAAGCCAAGAAAGAAACTTGCAAGGAGCAGGCAACGAACAGAGCAAATTGCCTGCAGAATAATATAGTTTATATATACAGACGGAGGGAATATGAAGACGAGTACGTTACGAAATATGACACTTCTTCTGTGTTCCCATTTCACTGGAGCACACGCACACTCAAGCATTAACACAACCAATCCAACGACCGCATGCCGACTGACTAGAATCCACTCTACTTCGTCTCGCGATATCCTAGTGGACATTTTATGCACTACTACTGTCGAAATATTGTATAAGCCTTCACTATAGAAATTTTTGTTGTATTTTCCACTGCGCACATTAATAAGCAATTTTATTATAATTAGGGAGCAAGGATAGCGCTGTCAGTATACGAATGGCTACGAGCTGGACGACCGAGGGGTCAGAGTTCGAGTCCCAGTAGGGTCAAGAATTTTCTCTTCTCCACGTGGTCCAGACCTGCCCTGGGGCCCACCTCACCTCTTATCCCACGGGTACGGGAGGGTCCTTCCCTGTGGGTAAAGCAGCAGGGGCGTGACGCTAACCACACCTCCAAATAGTGCCGAAGTCAAGAAATCGTCGATATACACCTGTATATCAACTCACCCATACGTCTTCACGGCGTAGTGCTTAAGCATAAGGACAACTTTACACAGTAATATTGATTTGCTTATTACGAATTTGCTGTGTTGCTAGGTAACGGTCCGTACACGCCCAACGGAAGAACACGTCACATACACTCTGACGTCACGCAACAATACGAGAGATGTGGCGGACGGTGTTTTCAGTGTGTCCGCTCCGAGGCTATATCATTCGACCGGCCGAGTTGACTTCTTCATTCAGTGCAGTGGAGTTGAGTGAATTGAAGAGTTTAGTTAGTTCGCGCACATTCGCCGGCCAGTAAGGGTGAGAACACGGAACTAAGAAAAATGTCTCGCAGAGGAGAAGCACGAAGACGTCGGACTCCCGCCAGGATTATATGGCGAAGACAATTCAGAAGGGTATATGAGTCAGATTGGATGCAAAATGCAGAAGAGGTGCAGGAAAATACTCGACAAGAGATGAACTTTCATGACGACCACAGTATTACCCTACAGGAGCTCCTGACTATGAACCATCACACAAATGCTCGAATCATGGATGCAGCACAAGAGGTTTGCCATGTTATGAAAATGACGTTGGAGGTGATAACTAATAGATTCTGCCAGGAGACTTCAGATATAGAAAAGGAGACAATGAGAAGACAAGCAAACTTTGCTATACTTAAGGCAAAGTTAACTGAAGTGGAACTGAACATCTTACGTAGATTAGAGGAAGCCGAGGCAGCTGAGATAGAGAAAAAAATCAAGGAAATGGAGGAACGGCAGAATATATTACAGTCTGTTCTCAATGAATATTTAAGTGAAAAATCAGGGCCAGTGGGTGATGGTAATAATGATGATGATGATCCTGCCGAGGAAGAAGATATCACTGAACACGCATCATGGTACTGTACCGCAGGCCGTGAATTGACTGAAAACAGGAGGAATCCTTATAGGGAGAGTCAAGAAAGGGTAGTCAGAAGATCCGAAAGCGCTGGAACATCATCTTGGTTGCCCGGTGTTGCTGCCACAAGTGGTAATAATGAAGCCACGATTTGTGGTGGTGGAACATCATCCTCTACAACAATGCCTCATGCTGCTAGCATGTCTAATGGCAGGGTTGATGATCAGTCAGAAATGTGCCCCATTTGCTTATGTGGATTTGTCACACAGGAGATTGGGACTCCAGAAGCTTGTAACCACAGTTTCTGTGTAGACTGTCTCCAGGAGTGGTTGAAGAATACTAACACTTGCCCAATAGATCGACAGGTGTGTGATACAATTCTTGTGCGTCACTATCTGGGGGGCAAAGTTGTCAGAAAAATACATATGGAGCCACCAAGGCAGCAACAGGAACATGATGTTATAGATTATTTCGTGCGTTGTGGGGTGTGTGGTGATGACAACCGTATTTCTGCACTAATTAATTGCGACAGATGTGGGCGAAGCTACCATCTAGACTGTATATATCCACGTTTGGACAGTGTGCCTCTGGGAGAATGGTTCTGCAGTGATTGTTCTTGACTTTCATCACCCTACGTTGAAAAGAGAAAGAAAAGAAAGAAAGAAAAAAAAGAGGAACCTTCTTTGAACTCTTGAATTCAGGCTCCACTTGATTTTGCAGTGCAATGTCCAGTGTATTTTTGAGCGTTTAAAGCAGCAGCAGCACTGTCTAACCTGTAACTAACTAACCTAACTGATGATGTAGACGACTTATCAATCATATATTATTTTTTCCAGTACTGATGTTTCATCGAAATATCACATTCCATGTTTCGGTCTTTCGGCTGTCATGAGGCATTTTCTAGATAATAATCTGTGTCATTATTTGCTACTAAACTGTTTATGTAACGGCTCCTTTGTTGTTATTCTTGTCATGTAAACACAAACAATACATATAAGTATGTATACATACATGTACTCAGTTTTTATAAATACAAATATAACTAAAATATTTATTATCAATTGGGAAAATTCTTGAAACATTATTTCATAATTTTTAAAGGGTTGTCTTATTTTTGTAATGTGGGGGTTGGGGGGGGGGAACAACTGTGACTGTTTTGGAAGTCTTTTCTGTGGTGACATGGATTATATGGATGTGTCTTTTTATTGTCTGTGGTCATTTATGTGCTCTTATTTACTGCAGTGTGAATGTTATATAGATATAGGTGAATATTGCATTGTTTTCAGTGGGCACATGTTATCTTGCATCTGCAATTTCATGTGTAAATTTGAAAATATAAGGGAATGGTAATTATGTATTTTGTTACTGTGGTTTTCGTGTACTTAATTTACATTATGTGGTAGGTTTCTTGATCTTTGTCATTGCTGTTCGTTATTAGCGTAGTGGTATTATACTTTACTGTTTCTTGAAAAGGTTTTTTTTTGTGATAATGTTAATGTAAATTGGAGTCATAGGTACATACTGTGCATGTCCATATAATTATTTGTTGTGTTTCAAGACTCCTTCCACTGATCAGGCAATTTTTCCTCCTATTTGGTATAACGAAAAATTGCCTGATCAGTGGAAGGAGTCTATTATTGTACCAGTTCACAAGAAGGGTGACAAAACTGACTGTAGTAATTATCGGGGGACATCACTGCTATCAATTTCATATAAAATTTTGTCCAATATTCTTCTTCCAAGGTTAAGTCCATATATAGATGAAATTATTGGGCATCATCAGTGTGGGTTTCGACGTAACAGATCAACTACAGATCAGATCTTTTGCATTCGTCAGATACTGGAGAAAAAATGGGAGTATGATGAGACAGTACATCAGCTNAATTAAAAGGGACACATCAGCTGTTGGTCTACGCTGATGATGTGAATCTACTGGGTGATAATGTAGATACCATAAAGAAAAACACAAACTTTAATTGACGCAAGTAAAGTGGTTGATCTAGAACTAAACACAGAGAAAACTAAGTATATGTTACTGTCTCATCACCAAAATGCAGAGCAAAATCATGACATAAAGATAGGAAACAGATGTTTTTAAATGTGGCACAGTTCAGATATTTGGGGACAATAACAGATCGAAACCTGATTCAGGAGGAAATTAAGAGGCAATTGAATTCGGGTAATGCTTGCTACCATTCAGTCCAGAACCTTTTGTCTTCTCGTCTGTTGTCAAAAACATAAAAATTAGAATATACAAAACTATAATTTTGCCTGTGGTTCTGTATGGGTGTGAAACTTGGTCTCTGACATTAAGGGAGGAACATAGACTGAGGGTGTTGAGGAGAATATTTGGACCAAAGAGGGATGAAGTGACAGAAGGTTGGAGAAAACTGCATAATGAGGAGCTTCATGATTTGTACTCTTCTCCAAGTATAATTAGAATTTTCATTTCATGCATCCTGTTGTGCTACAATATACAACTCTTTATTGACCGTCACAACACAACAAACAGAAAAATCAAGGTCAGTGCCCAGCTATGGTTTCGCTACATGTTTCAGCCACTAATGGCCATCATCAGCTGGGCGCTGACCCTGATTTTTCTGTTTGTTGTGTTGTGACGGTCAATAAAGAGTTGTATAATTAGAATGATCAAGTCAAGGAGGATCAGGTGGGCAGGTCATGTAGCATGAATGGGGGAGACGACTGTGTATAGGATATTGGTGGGAAAGCCAGAAGGAAAGAGACCACAGGGAAGACCAAGGCATAGGTGAGTGGACAATATTAGAATGGATCTTAGAGAGATAGGATGGGATGGTATGGATTGGATAGATCTGGCTCAGGATAGGGACCAGTGGAGGGTTCTTGTGAACACGGTAATGAACCTTCGGGTTCCATAAACTGCTGGGAAATTCTTGAGGAGCTGCAGAATTTACGGCTCACCCAGAAGGGCTCGGTTCAGCTCAGCTCAGCTCAGCTACTAATATATACCCAACCTCACTCTGGTGAGGCTGGGTGTATATTAGGAGGGGGAGAGGAAATGGGATGAGGTGGGTTTCTTTTCTGTATGTCAGGTGGTGGTGAGGGAAGGTAGGTTAGTGAGTGGTCTATTATTATGTGGGTCAAATGAAAATAACTTAGTTCTTACCACAGTGAACTATAAAGTGTGTGCATTAGTGAAATAATTATATAAGTATTTGCAGACACGCATCTGTAAGAGTTCAATAAATCCAATTACCAATTTGGACGACACTGAATCTAGCCTGGCTCTGGGCCCATTCAGCCTCCTACCAAAGTGGACCAGTAGACTCTCTCCCCAGAGGTGCAGCTAACTTTTCACCTCCATATAGTGCAGAGGTTAGAATGCTTGCAACTATACCACCACTCACCCATGTGTCATCATGGTGTGTAATTAGCACAAGCACACCACCTACTTTACTTCATCAACTGTAAGATTAAGCAGTATCAAATGGATTGGGGGAGAAAGTGGTCGTGGCCAATTTCAAAGTGCTATAGGCCTGCCTCCACCCTCCTCAGATCCATTCTGTTTGTCTACTAAATAGACCGACTACTCCACCCCTAGTTTCAGGCATCCAGTGTTTCCTCTAGGTACATTTTGCGCCAAATTTCTGTTCAGGGTTCAACTTAGAATAGTAAGTGGAGCTACTCAGTAATATCAGAGACTTTTGAACTAAATCATTGTATTCATTTCTTTGGTTCACAATGTGTGTTCATACCAGAAATCTCCTTCATTTAATCTCACTAAGGACAGTATCTCTCAGGAAACAAATATGATATGAGTTCTATCTTCTGGGATATGTCGTGTAGTCCAATGCAAATCAACTTATGTTCCAGAGGAACGTATCATCTCCATGTTTAGGACTGAGGAGTAAGCCACGCAAGAACCCAACATGAAGACACGAAGCAGAGGCTCTGCTTGCTGGCCTCTTGTGGTGAATTTGGCTTGGGGTACACCATTTGTTGAGATCAACTGGTCTGGATACTGAGAGGATCATAAAATAAACAGCAAAAGAGACACTGTCAGTAGCTCAAACTACATAACACTAACAGCTGTTAAATAATGATGTGGCAAGAAGTTATCAGAGTTATTTATTGAAAGTATAAAGTTGTTCAGATCAACCGACATATTTACATATTATAATCTATTCAGTATTCAGTATTGAGGGGGTGGGTTTCCCCATGCACTTAGACCAGTTATTGGTCCATTTTGTGTCCCCCTTTTAATTTCTACTGTCTCCATACCCTACTGGTACTGGTGCTTACTATCAGCCCCTTTCTGCCAGCGAGGTTCCAACCTTCTACTGACAGTGGTACCTAATACTTCCCCCATCTACCGGTGGCATTGGAAACTACTTTGGGCGGGAAACTTTTTGGCCAAATTTAGCTCAGAGGTCTCCTAGAGACATGAGGTTCTTTTACGTGCCGTAAATCTATGACATGGGACTCATGGCTTAAAGTCCCTTCTGGAGGACTCGTTCCCTGAAATTTTCCGCCCTTAAAAATTCCATGACCTCTGCCGGGTTTGAACCTGCGCACCTTGAGTCATGAAGTGGGAATGTTACCCCTAGACTATGGAGGCCACTATATTATAATCTAACTTGATGTATTATCCAGGTATTTGCCTGCAAGAACTGAGGAAAACAATGAAAAATTAAGTTAAGATGGCTGATGTTCCAAGGTCTTCTGTCAGGCTAGATTCTTCTAACTTATCAATATGAAGACATTTAGACAGGCCTGCCATGCATACCTGCTGTCTACAAGTTGAAGATAAAATATGGGTATAATCATTCTGTGGATTCAAGAACTAAAGAACTGCCCACAGGATTATGGGATTAATATATTGTCCTGTACAAGGGTAATATGACAAAGAATTAATGGGATCTGGATCAGATGAATTGATTTATTGAACACTCACCAGTCATAACTACAAATACTAACACTTGAAAGAGTATTCTTAACTATCACACATAAAGTTTTCAACACTTCCAACTACTGGATCCTCCATCCTCCATCATCAGTCCTCTGGAACACTCTCTCACTCACTAATTGCTCTCCATATTATAACTGTCTGAGAACTGACTAGAGACCACCATTCACAGCAGTTAATGTTACTGCATTCTTCTCTTTCTCTGCTTTCAACAATTTGTTGCTGTGCTTATTTGTCGCAGCAAAAACATGGTTCCTATCCTAAACCAGATGAATCCAAATAACTTCTTCTCACTCCTTTTTTTTTTCAGATAAAGATAAAGGTTGGTACAGCGACTGGCTATGGGCCGGACAACCAAGGAGTTGGAGTTCAAGTCCCAGCACCATCAAGAATTTTCTCCACATCATCCAGATCAACTCTGGTGCCCACCCATCCTCCTATTCAATGGGTAAGGTAAAATTCTCCCTGTGCTTATCTAATTAAGTATTATGCCATGAAGGCATATGGGGGAGTGGATATATAGATCCACAAGAGAAAGTGGTGTTTTCCATGGGGCTATATAATGGGAGTCTGTTTGTAGCTAGGGGAATTAGAGAATTATGTCAAGTTCTGGAGGCTCAGCAGTCCAAGGTGTTTCAACACGAAATGGCAAGAAGACAGCATGAGAATAAGAGCTGTCAGTAGGATATGGCCATGAGAAGTTAGTTAAAGAAGAAGTAGAAGTCACCCTGTGAAGACTTAGTGTGTGATTACAATATTCAGTCACAGTGAGACTGTTTTAATTCCGTTACCAGGTTACGACTAGTGAAGACTGAGAATCTTAGTGCATGTGTAATGGTGAACTGTAAATTGTGTAAATCAGTGATAGTGTTGTATTGCTGGTAAGTACGAGGTCATGGTAAAAGGTGTTAATAAATCTATTCACCAATCCAAACCCCATCTATAGTCACTAATAAATGTGACAATACTGTCACATATTATTGTTGTGCTTGACTAATAACAATGGGTTCTGGACTGGATGATTGGATTTAATGGTACCATCTTCTACAATCACTCTTAATCATAATCTATGACTGCCTAAAACTTGCTCTATTCTGGCTGGACTATGACTGTCTTCTCTTCTTGTCTTTCTTGTACTGTGACTGACTGGGTTCTGATTTATGAATCACTCGCTTTTGGTTTATGAATGCCAAATGCCAAATTCTGACTCGCAAATGAATGAATCCATTCTTATCTGCATGTCTGCTTATATAGTCTAGCGCATCCTAGAAAGTGTTTGTTGAATGTCCGTTTGCACGGAAACGCATTTGTACTGAGCTGGTACCTAGGAAACCACCTCCATGGAAACCTGTTAATTTTGTAGCAATGCTCTGGTTTCCACAAGTCTTTACCTTTTCATTTTTGTATCCACAGAAATGTTTGTTAGACCCCCAGCAATGGTTTGTGTCCATTAATCACATCTCCATAGAAACGTGTCTGCCAATTAGTCTCCTGGAAACACTTACATGTCACAATATAATGGTTTTCCTCTCCTCCTTTAGAACACACTTGATTAGAAAATTATTATTAAACCCTCACTTTTTGGATCAGAAATAAATTATTATATGCAAATATAGCTATTATTAAATTACCACCCATCCACATTTCAAACCTCAAAAGCACATGTTACGTCAACAATAGACAATAATTGCTGCTGTTAACATTATGTGACCTAAATCGCTGGACAAACACTGCTGTAAAAATATATATTTACTACACATGAATTCATTCAACTGTTTCTCCCAAACAAATGTTTTAATTCTCAGAAACACTTAGAGGTAGGCAGCTTAATATGTCCACTTTGGTTTTGGAATGATTTAAATACAAATTTATTGTTGACATATTCATAAAAAATATCACAAGATGTGCATATTACCATTACAGCCTTATAACAGTATGCTTTAATTTATTCATTAAATTCTCATTTCTTCATCAGATGTCTGTAGAATGCAGTGGAATTTTCAAAAGCCCAAAGAAAGAGCAGAACTATCGATCTTCATCTACAAGCAGCTAGAACTTTCTCAATTCAAGACGAAATGCATGCAGCATAGGTGTGAGTTCATAAGATGGCTGCTTCAATAAATAACAGTGGTGTTTTTGTTTTATTCAGACTTTATACAAAAAATATGCTGAAAATGAATATGAAAATGAATAATGATAAATATTGGTGATCTACTGCTATCAGATTTAAAGAAAAGCATTTCCTGTATTACCTCTGTCATGCATCAATGTACAATCTGGCATGCTGAATATGCTACATACCAAGTTTCATGAAAATTCGTTCAGGCACTCAAATGTTGATGGGGGAGGGGATACACAGCCAGGATGGAGATTGCATAAGCCTACTTTATGAAAGTAGGCTAAAAATTACCATCTAAACTCACTACGAAGTCTCCATACACCTTCTCCACTTGGCATACGGTGGAACTCACACACCTCACTTAACATAAACTTGAAGAGGGGGGAAGTTCCAGGTGGGAGGCGTTCACTAAACTGAGCAAGAATCTCTTGAGTTGAGGCCCGTCCATCCACTGATGCACCAAATGCTACATAGTTCCGTATGTCTGTAAGAAGTTCAGCGTGCTCCTCTTGAACAGACACTGATGAGGATACTGGAATGTTGTTATATCCTTGTGTTAATTCCTCTTCAGAGTCTGGTTCAGGTCTTGCCACAGGCTCCATTAGCCGGTTACGGATCTGCATTCGAGACAACAGCTCACTGGATGTCATGGGTTCCTCATTACTTGCATCCAACCTGCTTCCTTTGGATTTACTCTCAGAAACACTGACAGAAGAACGTGTCACAGTCTTTTTCTTTCCAAACCGAAGTCTGCAAAATCACCAAACACGCAACTTAATGTAAACTACTCATATAGAATGTTCCCATAACCATCATAAACTGAAGCCAGATTTACAGCTTATTACACTTACTATGACCGAAACTAATAATTATGAAATAGTTTTCTTCTGACATAAACCACATCTGAAAATCTACTTAAAACTTTGTAAGACTGGACTGAAGATTCACACTGTGATCTTCTGCATTATGAGACCGTGTAGTCTGGAAGGTGGGCATTACCATTTTGGAAAATGAATACTGCCTGAAAATAGAGGCAATATGTTCCTCCAAAATGTAGTACCTACCTACCTACCTACCTACCACGCAACAGGCGTGTCACAGTCCAGAAAGCCATACTATGTCGTACATAAATTAACAGCATCTTTATGTTTATATAATTTATGAAATAATTGAATCAGAACAGGTATTTCAGATTACTTTTTCCAATTAACTGAACTGAACTGAACTGATGAGTTACAAGAGTAAACAAGTACAAATGAGGACATGTTCCATTTTCCAACTAACTGATTCAATTGCACAGAGAAAGGTAACTGCATCCCAGTTAGTTCTTGTATGATCTGTTTTCATCTGGAAGTGCAGAAGAACCATAAACATGTAGGAGAGATGGCTATAAGTACTTCAACTTGCAACAATGGAAAGTACATAAACATCCATGATCTGGAAGGAACAGGAACTTGTGAATAAGCAAGCTTATACCAAAAAGCATTGCGATTCAACAGCAGCATGTATTATGATAGGCATTATATGTGACTTATTATTTTAATAAGCCATATAATGGTAAAGCAGTTAAATGGTACATTACTATTAAGTTGCAGTGAATACTAAGTCAAAAGAGAATAACTGAAGACAACTAACAGAAAAGAGAGAAGATAGCTTTAAATCTGCAATGTGCTGGCAATAAAGTCAGGACGTTTCAAATTATTAAGGACCCATTTCATACAATGCAAGGTAGGATATTTCCTAAAAATTAGGTTTAAATATTGTAATCACAACAAAATGATCAAGCAATAAAATGTAACAGTGAGAGATGCAAACCAGTATTCGTTCTCACCGAGCTTGGGTTGGTGAAATGTTATGAGACCGAAGAGCTCCACTCTGGCCAGTCCAAGATGGGACACCTGTATCTGCCTGCCAACATTGCCGTCGTGATTCCTTCAATGCCTGTACAGCCTCCTTCGCTACTCGCCGTGCCTCACCTTCAACCAGTGCATAGTCTGCATGCCCTCCTTCCATGATCATGTCATGTCTCATTGCTGTCTGGATACCTGAACCAGAGTTAAAACAAGTAGGAATCTTTCACTTCCATTGCCTTTAACACTGTACAGTCCTACTGTAAAGCAGAAGCAGTAAACTTTTACAGCCATGACACTTATTAGGTGTTGCAGAATCTGTGGTGTAGAATAGGAAGACCTTAGGAAAGTTCCAAAATTCACCAGACTCTGCATTCACCAAATACATAACTATTAAAACTAAACATGAGAATGATTCATAGAGATACAGAGACACCTACAATTTTCCCAGTGAGTCTGCTTCAGTCTTTCCCATCTAGCTGCTTAAATATGGCTAGGAAACCAGATAATGACCTGGCCAAAGTAGAGCCTCATATACAGGTACCAGGAGTGAGCAAAATTTCCAACAACATACACAAACATAAAATTCTGACAATTAAATCATTTATGAAAGAGTACAAGAAAATTGAATCTGTCACTGTAGATAAGAAAATTTAATGAAATAATCACCTACATTTACAAATTCAAAGCACAAAATTTTTATATGAATTAAAATGACATTCAGTATTCTCTTTTTTTTTTAGTCATGTAGCTTCAATGTTCCGGGTTTTTTTTTATTTTACAGGGAAACAAAATGAAACTGAACATACTGCATAGCATATCTGTCTCATTACTTTTGAGCTGCACTGTGTAATCAATAAAAAAAACAATTCTTTAATATCTAAGCACTTCTCAGTTCTGGATATTTCCTCACCCCTAAGACAAAAATTTTGATACTGAATGTCATGGACATACCCAAAAGTATAACTTCAAATTTTCATCTTGAAGTCCATTCAGCTCAAACTTATGCTTCATCCTGACACTCAATGGTCTATTACAATTGTTAAACAGCAGATCTGATCCCCTCATTACCTTCAGACAGCCTTACAAATTCCTCCACTGTACTGACAAAATTTAAAATAAACATTCAGCATATTCTGTGTAATGTGCTCCTACAAATGATGATATATTTTTTTGCCTAATTAAATACCTAATGAAAGGAACTGTTGTGTGTCGATGTTATGAGATGGGTTGGTATTTCGGGAAGTAATTATATTCCAACATCTTGAGTTACATCAGTATCAATACAGTTAATTTAATTACTTGAATGGTTTCAGTTCAAAAGATTTCCTAGGATGACACTCAACAAACATTAAACTTGTGAGGAAATATGTTGCACTTGGCCTCATTTCATGCAATGTTCTGCTTTTATCACTCACATTCTTTACGGCAAGAGAGCCACAGCTGTGGAAGTACAAAGAGCTCTAAAAAGTGAATTGTAAGAGAAGACACAATCTTCAGGTGGCAAAATATCAGAATTAGGTTTCAGTCATGCAGGATTTGTGATGGACAAAGTGGCATTGGGGCAGTTTTCTCACAGTACTTCAGTTTCCCCTGCCAGTTCTCATTCTACCAACTGTTCCATATTCATTAATCATCCTAATATTGACAGTATATAATCTTGACACTATAGAGAAGATGAGGAAGAGAGCAGTGGAGAGTGGTTGTAGAGGAGGCCAAGGCTCACCCAGGGCTGTAGTGTGGAGTGCTAGGTAGACAGATAGTCTTGACACTGACAAAACAAACAAAACTCTGTGGCCTGTAGTCTGCAAATGAACTGTACTGACCCGGCAACCACCACTTGTCGGTGAAGTTAGTGCCAACTTTTGTGGATAGAGGGTGTCGCGTGGTCAGTGCAACAGATCCCCAAGGCCGTTAATCTCGGTTTTCTAGACCACAGCCGCTATTTCCTTGAAATAGCTCCTCAGTTATCCTCATGAGGCTGAGTGGACCCCGTTCCACACCAAATACTTCTCAGAAAATGTGGTAGCACCAGGAATCGAACCCGGAATCTCTGGATCTGTAGCCAGGAACTCTGACCACTAGACCACAGAGGCGGTATTGACACTGACAAGAGTTATTAAATAACAAACAGAATGAGGTTTCATTGTGTTTTAGTTCCACGCATAAATTCTAGTGAAACATGAACAGCACAAAGACTAATTAAGACAAATGAATACACTTCATATGTGAAAGTCTCACCGGATTTTCTGAAGAGTTTACGCAGCACATAGTCATCCTCCTGAACAGACTTCTGTTCTCCATTTCCAGCTGAGGGATGTGCTTCCTCTGCTTCACACTGCCCCACTAAGTATGACACTCTTTCCCCTTCAAATAATGCACCTTTTTTTTCTCTAAAGGCACGTTTTCTACTGTGAGGATGGTGTCTCCTCCTATGCTGATGGGACATAAATGCTCCTTTACTACATGACTTCTCTCTCAATTCTGGGTTCTTCATAACGTTATTTCTATTCTGGGCAAGATCTTTCACAGCTTCTCGCTGGGGAGACTTCTCACACTCAACATATGACTTCTGGTCATACTCCACAGCAGTCTCTGATTTACTGACAGCTTTCTTCACACTAGAAACAAAGTCTTCAACTGTCACATCCTCTGTCTCAAGTTCAACTGTATTCCTATTTGCAACGGATTTATAAACCGCATCACTGGCTTGACTTGTGGAATGGGGTTGGTGACAAAATTCATCGTTTGCATCAATCCTGGTATCTGGTTCTAGAAAAGAGAAGATTAGGGTGATTTACTACTGACACTACTATTAATTCCTATCACACATAGGGACATAATATTGCAGGTATGCTGCAAGTGGAGAGGGGACACCAAACATTCTGCTTACCTACACACTACACAATGTTGTGTCCCTCAGTCCCACACCCTCAAATTCTGAATACTTCCAATCAGGACTCTCCCAAAGGGCATGCAGTAGTGTAGTTGAATCATTATGCTATAAGGTGGAAGGTCACAGGTTTGATTTCCAATGAGGTCACTGGACTTTTTCAATTTACCTAATCCTTCCAGCAGCACTATGGCCCTGGCATTGACTCACCTCTAACAGAAATAAGTACCAGGGATCTTCCTGGCAGTAAAGGGTGGCTGGCATGTAAGGCTGACAATCTTACTGCCATCTATGAGCTGAATGTCTAGAAAATGTAGGAACCTCGACGTCTCACAACCCCATGGTCCTCCACAGCCTGTCACGGGGATAGCCTTACCTTTTACCGATCAGGACTCCGGAAACACAACTTAAATGTACTAGATACTGAACACAGTCTATTCCTCCATGACCTCATACTAGTCTTCATATAATGAGTTTCATGTCTGTCATCAGTCTGAACTACTTCACTGTAGTCAGTTTCACAGTTTGTTCAATGATGACTTTTGAGGTTGATAACCAGGAAGGGGGTGACACAACTGCTGCTGGTGATATGACAACAAGCTTTGGGTATGAAGATGGGCGTACTGGTGGGATGTTTGCAGGGGTGACCAGAGGTGTTCACTGTTGACATCGTGATGCTGCTGCTGCTGTTGATGCTTTCGCAAATGGGGAACACAATGGCATGATTAGGTGGATGATACTATTCATATGACTCTAATGAAAATAGAGCGATGACATTCAGATACCAAATGAAGAATCTATTATTCCTTTTCCAAGTGGATAATAAGAGATAAAGGAAATAAAGTTCTTAACATGGCAATATTCATCTGTTGTTTCCTGTTATTAATTATATTATGGGCAGGATCCAAACGCATCAGTGGCGAAAGTGGTAAATCAAATGCCTTTTACATACAACTGAAAGTTATGGAACTCAAAAGAAAAATTCATTATAAAGTCAGTGGAATATACCTTGTTTGTTGATCATAGCAATCTGTTTACTGAGCAGGTGTGCCAGACGTTTCATGCGCTCCAGTTTTGATGCTGAAAACTTAACTATCTTCGATTCTCGATGTCTGTTGCTCTTCTGGTGGATTTTCTTTTCTTTTTTGCAGGAGTTTGTTTTGTGAGATTTCAACTTTACCTGCAACAAATCAATAAAATTATTTGGCCAATGATTAGAATGAGATACCAGGAAAACCTGTCTACTCACCTGTGACAAATGTGACAGTTCATCCTATAAGGTAAAGTTGTCCCTGTGCTTAACCAGTTAAGCACTATGCCATGAAGGTGTATGGGGGAGTGGATGTATAGATCGACACTCTCTTGACCCTGGCACTAGCTGGAGGTGAGTGGTCAATTTCATGCCCGTCATTTTATTCCTGGGGAAAGAGCCCCCAGCACACCTTGGATAGTAGGCTGGGAGGGCTCGAAACCCATTCTGGACAATAAGGAGAAGAGAAAATTCTTACCCTGCTGGGACTCGAACTCCAACCACTTGGTCATCCAGCCTATAGGCAGTCAATATACAAACTGCACTACCCCTTCTCACCAGTCCAACCTATATTTTGCATATTTATTCAACCCTCTTTCTCACTGTGGACAATGTTTAGAGGAATAGACATTGCTGCAAAACTTACTTATTTGAAGGAACAACTGTTTCATTACAGCCTATCTTTAAACATTCACAAAACAATTTTTCTTTCCAAGAAGTTAAATTTTCAAGCTCTAAGTCTTATTACTATAAAAGCGGATTCATGTAGGACGTCAAATTCAATCTTCCATGGTCTCAGTATTTCTTAATTCCATATTCTTTCAACACAGACTACTACTTTATTGTTTGATATAACATGGAAGGTTGCATACAGTTAATACAAGGATTATATAATACTAAGAGCGGTTTACAGCTCTGCCACCACTGCAAAAGTGCTGCAATAATTTAAGTGACAAGACCACACATAACCCTGTGTGGATGTGGGTTAGAGTACCTTCACTGTAGCCTTGCAAGTCGCAGAAGGCAACAAAAAGGGAACTCAGTGTCTGGGGATATAATTGGGCCACCCTGTCACTGGGGAACATAAATACACAGATGTGGAACTCCAGGTTGGATGCAAGGCCGATGACTTTGCACTGTAAAGAAATGAAGTGGGAACCGGATGGTCTAACTTAAAACAGGCAGATCTGGCAGAATCTTCTAAGGAAGGCTATGGCTCAAAAAGGGCTGTTTTGCCACTGATGATGATGATGATCACACACAGACATACACAAACTGGTATGAGATTGGTATGACACACAAACAGCATTTACCTCCGAGCCAGTGCCAGCGAAGACGGCAGCAGTTTCTGTAGTTCGCTCACTCTCAGCAAGCGTAAACAATTCAAGTAGGTCATTAGACTTGAAGAAACGCCGCTGACGTGGGTCTTTCAGCACCTTATTACAGAGAAATTGTTTGAAAATCTGACGATGGTACACCTGAAACAATGAAGATCATGTGAATTTTCAATACTAACACCTAATAGAAAGCTCCAGAAACACAACTTAAATCTATTCACTCATACTGTCCCAGCATGCATCATGTAAGTATTTCTACATGGGTGTTTAAAAACTCAGTGATAAATGTTAAGAGAACAGCAGTAATACATTCCTTATTTTATAATAATTTATAATATTTTATAATAAACCATATGATTATTATATTAATACATTTACAAAGATTAAAAACGAGCTTTTTGCCAGCTTCTGTGAACTCACTAATGGTGAATGTGAGAGCATATTCTTGGAACCCTATTATAAGATGCACTGATTATTGTAAACAGATATCAATATAAGCATTACCCACAAGCGGAAAGAAAAAAATCTCCCTCTCTGGCATAGCAGAGTCTGGAGTTTCACGGCCACCACAACAAAAGACGGAAACTGAGGCAGCTAAGCTTAATCACATCACTGCAGTTCACAATACAATACTGTAGTCTATTATTATGAAATATCAAGAAAGGATTTCATTGAACACAGCGACAAAACAGGTACTACCTGGGAGGTCCCAGGTTCAAACAATGTACCAGAGATCAGTTATCTTGACTGAAGTTTCTTGTGGGTTTCCTCAGTGCATCTAGTTAATCCTACGATCATATCTCTAATTAGGCCATGACCACTTCCTTCCACAACTTCACAATTCACTATTCACTAATCATCCAAACATCTGACGCTATATAGTCTGTGGGACTGATAATATTGTTAAAGAAAACATATATAAATATGAAAGAAATAATTTTCATACATATAAAAATATTCCCAGTATTAATTCCTCCTTAGGCAGCGTATATACGAGCGCACAAAATGTGTCCATTGTAATGAACGTCGTGACGTCCGTTGTAGAACTAAACAAGAGAGGTGAGTGCTACGCTTTCTTCCAGCTCCATTGTAGAAAAAAACTATGCACCGCATTCTGCAACTGTGTGGTGACCTCAACAATGTCCATCACAAAGTACGTTCGTTGCAATGGACGCATTTTGTGTGCTCGTGTAGATGCTGCCTTAGAATGCATATTTCCATGTCTGCAGTGGCTTGTGAAATGGCAGTGAAATGTATTTAAGATTTTTTAAATTATACCTGATATATTACTTTCTTACTTCTTGGTTATACTATCTTCAAGGAACCTTGCCCTCCTTCATGACAGATTAATTAATTAATTCATTCATTCATTCTCATTCCATGGATCTTTACATAGCTGGAAGACCAGTGGATATAGAAATAGTCAATGACAACAAAACAAGTCACGTCAATTACATAAATACAAATTAATTACACTTAATCCATCGCAATTACACATGTTATCCGAGACAAATCACAAAGAGAAAATCATGAAACAGTTCTAAAATATATAAGTAAAAGCACGCAACATACTAATATCGAACAATACTACAATAATCAAACATAAAAATATACTACTAGCCATCCAGCAAATCAAAAATTGTTTTGTGTCATGAGCTAAGTTATTTATGCTAGAAGGAAGATTATTATAAATCCTGATTCCAAATAATATGTTCCTTTTTTTAATACTGTTAAATTACATACTGGATAATGGAAATTGTTATTTCATCCTGTATTAATGCCATGAATCTCAGAGTTCAATTTAAACTCTTCTCTGTTTTTAATCATAAATAACAAGAGAGAATAATGAGTATGACAGCTGTCCTTGACAACCTCCAATTCTTCAGTTTTCAATCTCATAAATAATTCTCATCAACTAGCAGACATCTCAATGTGGGCCTTCCCACTTCTTTCTAGCTTCTGGCTTACTTTTAAACATTATTTGACTTATTCTAATCGAGTGCCTCCAACCATCTCTCTCTCTCTCTCTCTCTCATGCATGCACACATACACACATACGTCCACATATATCCCTTAAAGGTCTGTGGCAATGGTATCTTATTAATTACAAAATGATTTTGCTGGACATCGTACATTGTCCTTTTTTCTTTCCCTGTGGCGCTACAGCCCCAATTTGGGCCTAGGCCTACCTCCATGAAACTCTCCGTTTCACTTCGTTTTACTAGATCTTACACATATGGTAGGACTCCTTGCGCGAGTGATCAGCTCGTCGCAAGGCCTCTACCTGTAGACAAACACAGAAAAACACACACAAACATCCATGCCCTGAGTGGGATTCGAACCCACGATCCCGGCTTCCGAGCGAGCGAAGGCAGTGCACGCCTTAGACCGCTCAGCTACCGTGACCGGCGTACATTGTCTTAGTCATATAATATTAAATACAAATAAGACAATGGCCAATATCAAACAAAATAATTTTACAATGAATGATCTATATCTCACAGGCATGTGCCTTCCACACACACACACACACACACACACCTTTTCTTCTATTGTGCCGGCAGTCACCAGTCGATACACAGTCACATTGTTCTGCTGCCCAATACGCCATGCCCTCTCTCGAGCCTGTGTGTCAGTGGCTGGATTCCAATCTGGGTCATAGATTACTACCCTGTCAGCTCCTGTCAGGTTGACACCAAGACCTCCCACACGTGTTGTAAGAAGGAAAACAAAGTAGGATGGATCCTGAGATACAACAATCAATACTGACACTATAATCCAATTTGAAAGGACAAGGAAATCAATGTGTGATTTGCTCTTTTATCTGTGTTCTCTAATGACTCTTATAAAGAGTGTGAACATGTTTTATTCCACTTACTTTCACTTGTTATGAACTTATACTACTGAAATATTAATTTCAATTAAAGGAAAAGGCTAGAAAAGTTGAAACACACTAAATCTTAAACATGTATGACAATGCTATTAACAATGGAGTCCTTATATTGATGAGACAGGATAGCTCAGTTAATATAGCAACTAGGCTATGGATTAAATGACCAAGGAATTGTGGTCCAATTCCTTGCAGGAGGCATGACTTTTTTCTCTTTTAAATAGTATTCAAAATGGCTCTGGGACCTTCCAGCATCATATACCTTGGGTAGTGCGAGTAGTTTCCTCAGAGGTTTAGCAACAGGGGCGTGAAGCTGACCACTCACCTCCATCTACAGCTGAGGTTAAGAATGGTGGAGCTACATCATCACTCCACCATACATCTTCAGAGTGTAGTGCTTAATTAATTAAGTACAAGAATAATCTTGCCTTTTTTCTTGCCCTTATACTGATACATGCCTCCTCGCTACCTCCATTCTTATTGTTCTGTTATTACTGTCCAATAAAAGGTAACACAGTGCAGAACAGTCACAGTGATTTGCATGCCATTCATCACACACTGTACCTGAGAATGTCAATAAATATTTTGAGGCAGGCTGACATCATACCAGACAAAATGTAAACAATTAATGGATAGTAAGAAAGACTGCAAGTTCACAGCTTCAATTATACAACGCAGATATGGAGCTATTTTATTTGGAAAATATATGAAGGGAAGAAAACATATGGAAGACCTAATCAAATATGGGAATGTAATATTAAAATGAGTCCTAAAAGGAATATGGTATGAGGGGTGAACTGGGTTTAAATGGCTCAGAACAGGGAACTACTAACTAGCAAAGTGATTATGAGATTCATATAGCTAGTTATATCTGAAAAACCTCATTAAATCTGGTGATAAGGGGCTGTCGTGATGCAACGCCCGTCCCACCGTCTAGCCTCAGGTACTTGTATCCCTGCTTCTGTACAAATGCCTCCAATATACACAGCATCTGGAAAAAAAAAAAAGATAAAATGAACATGCGTCTCCAAAAAGTACTCAAATCAAGAGGTAAGATCTTCGTAAAATATATTTCTGGGTCCCTTCAGTTATTCAAGGTACTAAATATTCCCTCTAATTCCATAGTCACATACACTTACCACTTCACAACAGGATTAGAGTAAGTAGAGATAAAAACTGGACACAACGATCTTTAGAGAAATTAAATTCTTCTACTTATGAATACAGAACAAGCTATCAGGTGTACATAAAAAGTAAAAAAGTAAAGCTTTCTCTGTAACAGGCCATGAAGGCCCATAGGGTTGTGAGACATTCAGGGTCCCACATTATCTAGACAATCAGCTCAACGATGGCAGTAAGGCCGTCAGCCTTACGTGCCGGCCGCGCTTTACTCCCCATGAAAATCATTTAATTAATTCATGGTACTCATTTCTGTTAGAGGCTGAGTCGACCCCGGGGCCATAGTGCGGCTGGAAGGATTAGGTCAATTGAAAAAAATCCAATGACCTCATTGGGACTTGAACCCGTGACCTTCCAGCTTGTAGCATAACCTTTCAACCAACTACACTACCACATGCCCCCATCAGGTGTACATAGCAAATTCAATAATTAAATGTGAAATTTCCTCTTCCTGTCAGTGTTTATTGAAATTCTTGCTGTGCTTCAAGGTTAAAATTCAAGAGAATGTCTCACTTTAGCAAACCTGGTTTTTGCTAGTCAGTTCTATCCCTTGATTTATAAACCCCTGAAACTTTCCAACCCTTATTTTAAAAAATTTTAAATCCTGTGTTAAGTTCTACTGGTCCATGCAAGAGGGGAAAAAAATACAGATTAGAGGTAAATAGCTTCAAAACTCTCAAGGCAGGAGAAAGCTTAATGTACTTACATGTACAAGAGTCAAATAGGTAAACATAGAACATTTTAGCGGCTGTTACAGCCATTTCAATGTGACTGCAGGCTGAGAGACGTTAATCCAAACACATCTACATCTTATCAAGTCTCTACAATATCTGTTGCGTGATTAGGATATAGTACATCTGAGAAGAAATTTTACAGAAGTACAGAAAGTACTTACTTGCCGACTCTGTGTGAAAAGCAGCACTCGGTGACCCTGTTTCTGCCAAATGCTTAGCAGGGATTGGATCACCAACATCTTACCGGCACGGCGCCAGTATCCATACCTGCTCTCCTCTGGCAGATCTTCTTCTTTATCCTAAATAAGTTATTTTCAACTATTAAGCAGGTGTAAACTCATTAATTGGTAGAAATATATAAACTACTATGGTGCGCTACTAATGAGAGCGACACAGATTACAGCAGGCATACTTGAGGTACTGAATGACACTGACTTTTGTATGTGATGAGTGTCTGAAATATGTAGAAAATACCATCACTGTACTATAATATACTTATTTATGATAATTATGTATAATTTTTCAGAGCATCCCAATGCAGTTGGCTTGCCATTTATAGAAAATTGATTCATACGTGACCTACTAGCAGAGACCTCTATGAAAGTGGTGTGCACCGTTTGGTTTACTATTTCCCCACAGACAGCAACAATGCAGTGTAATTTTTAGCAAACTATCATATAATCGCGATCTTGAAGTCCGAAGAATGGCATCAGTTATGACATAACTGATATGTTTGCGGACTTTCCAATTTGTGCATTTGTTTATGAAGGCCTGCATTTATGTGTCAATATACAGTAAGTAAATATAATTTTGAAAGCAAATGTATTAAGAAAATATTCAAAAACATACTGTAAGGAAATCTAGCCCTTGGCACACACACATGTATATGAAAGTGAAATTCAGTAACTGTTTAGCCGTGAGTAATGTAAAACATATGCTGACAATGATTTGTGATATTTATTAAGGTAAAAAATTTGTGTAACATCATAAAAATGTATTTTTCGTAAAAATAATACCAATATGAATTCAGGACCATTAAGGTCCTTATAAATGGTAAAAAAATCTTCTATTCTGTAATTACATCACTTTTTGGTCAATTTATTTCAGCAATATCCTAATTATTTTGTGAGAATTTTAAAACTGAATGCTGTACATTGCAGGAATGCGATTTTATGAATGTCAAAGAATTCAACAGAGGATCCACACTTGAAGCTCATTATTTTGACATATGAGACACTGCTGTCTCTAACTATATTATTTATTTATTTTATTTTGCTTTAAATCTATCAAATTCAGCCTGACGTTAGACCTGAATGTCACACCAAGTCTGACAAAGGATATGGAAGAGTTCAGTATCCCTGATACAATTACTGCAGTTTGAAACAAGTTAATGTGATGGTCATAGCATTTCTCCTATTCAAGGCTAATACAAAACTTGCTAATCTGAAATCCAATTTTGGGTATTTTCACTTACAAACAAAGATGTACCACTTGCTGAAGATCTACAATATAAAGAACTGATTACCATTAATAAAGAGAACAAGTCTTACCCCACGAAACAATTTTGGTCCACCTGAATACAGGTCTGGGTGATTGCATATTTTGCGAAGAGCAATTAGCCCCACAAAAATCTGGAATCGACCCTGAAGAATTCTTCCAACTTCATCGGAATCCAAATAGCTTTTGTATAGGCTCCGTTGTTCTTCTGTCAGCCGACAGAATAAGACCTGGGAAAATGGAATAAAACTAATATGATCAAATGAAGATACAGTGCCTCTCGGACATTTTAAAAATATTTGAAGCACCCAACTCTGAAATACACCTCTAGGTTTATGTCATTCAGTATTAATTCAATGACACTGTATTCAGGACAGAGGTTATATGGCAGCAAACAGGAAATGGGAATACAATTATAAATAATGATGTGGGATAGATTTGGAATATTTAAACGTAGTAGTGACACATGCTACTCTAGAAAAACTAAAGATTCTACTTAGCAGAGCAAGTCATTACAGCAAAGCATCTCCAAATTGCATGGCAAGCATTCTTCTACAGCTCCAAACCTGTCTGGAAATTCTACGGACAACTTAACACTGAATACAAATTAATATACAAGGAGACATTTGCAAATTATACGGAAAAACATATCACAGAGTTGTCATTAACCATATATTCATGTGAATTACATATCAACTACACTTAAACTAGCAGAAGAGCAAGCTGTCTGCTACTGCTGGTCTCTTGCTCAGTTCACACTTTAACCCTGAAGACAGAAGCTCCTCCAAAATGTTGGCTCTCTGTACTACAAGGTGTTATAATTTTTCTCTTCAATGCTAATACTGACAATAATCCAGGACTTTGAATTCTCTGAATTTTGCTATATTGCAGTTCTGCTGTATATGAAAACAGTACATCCAAGCAAAGGCAGTAGGGATCCCTTCCCAATCTCTTCCCACTCACCACACACATTAGCCTCTCATTCCAGTCAGGGATGAATAACTTCTACAACTGGTACAGCATTATTATGTAACCTGATTAATCATGGGAATTTATGAGAGCAAACAGTACTGAGAGAAGTTAATCATACAGTTCTCTGAATAAACTTCTCCTTACAGCGTCTATGAAGACTTGTTCTAATTACTGTTACTGCCTCATATCTTTAGCCGCGGTAGAGGGGTCTTACCATCTCTCGCGGAGCGGGGGGGGGGGGCAGGCTTGTCAGCGTGGGTACAACCACTTTGGAATGTAGCGTCTTGGAGTGTAGTCAGGTGTATAGTACTACTCCTGGTCTCCATAGGCAATGTTTTCCGCTCGGGGAGTAGCTCTGAACGGCCCCACAGCAAGGGTATAGCTTCGCGTGCCCTACGACAGCGTCTGACATTCCGGGCGGCTAAAGTTACCAGGCAGTAACAGTACATGCTCTTCTCTTTCAAAATTGTCTATATAATCTTGGATACCTGTTCATTTTTTGGTGGGAGATGTATATGTGATCTGACATCGGCTTTCATGCGACGCAGTAAGTATGGTGCAATGGTGTCTCGTAGAACTGTAGCACATCTATATGCTGTTGCCACCTGCACCAGAACAATCACAACAGTGAAGATAATTAACTCTCACATTTAGATTACAAGTACGTGGAATATTTCCTTCACAGATCTAATGAGCATGACAGCAACTGCTACAGAAATAAAACAACACTGAACTCTTGGTTCAACAACTCCGTGGCCTGTAGTCTGCAAGCGAACTATACCGACCGAGCAACCGCCGCTTGTCGGCTAAGTTAGTGCCAAATTCAGTGGATAGAGGGTGTCATGTGGTCAGTGCAATGAATCCCCACAGCCATTAATCTCGGCTTTCTAGACTGGAGCCACTATTTCCTTCAAATAGTTAATCAATTATCCTCACGAGGCTGAGTGGACTCCGTTCCAGACCCACTACTTCTCAGAAAATCTGGTAGCGCCAGGAATCGAACCCATGACCTATGGATCTGTAGCCAGAACTCTGACCACTAGAACACAGAGGCGGTGGATGGTTATCTGCAATAACTGAGGGGAGAAATAGTGCAGACAATGAAAAACAATGAATAACCCAAAAATATTATTGGTCATGGTACAGATCAAACAGGGCTACCAATATTTTTTCAATATACAAAAGCAACCCTTATCCAGTGGCAGTAAGTAGGCTGGAATATGATAATATAATGAAATAGAAAGTTACAACATAATGAGAAGATGTAAGTTTTGAGGTTTTCACGGCGATGACTATGAAGAAAGTCGTCTTCTGGGTTTAGGCGCCGTGTATTCTTCGTTTTGGCCGACGTTTCGGAGGAACGTATCGCCTCCATCTTCAGAGCAGTTGAATGGCTTGGAATGCAGAGAGCAGCTACTGCCATTGCTTGTCTTTACTACGTGTGCTCACAGCTCACAAGCAGCGGCACGCACACAGGAAGACCACACAGAATAACACCTGTTCAGTGTGGAAACAAGCACTAGCCGCTGCAGCACTTTAGACATAGGGCAAGTAACCCTAACAATTTTAAATTTTAAATTTTAAATTTAGAGAAAATTTTAAAGGATTTAAAATTATAACTAAAGATTTTATAGTGCTACTACAGAAAAACCAAAATTGATGTGTGCAAAATAATCTACATACCAGACAGATATCAACGAGGTAGATGCTGATAATAACGAAGAAAGTAACAATGTGTTTTTAAATGTTAAATTTTAGACTGGGTTCAGTGTGGCAGTAACGTAAGAGTATACACCTGATGATGGCCGTTAGAGGCCGAAACATGTAGTGTAGAAGAGAGCAAGATCAAAGACATATAATATATATTGTTTGCACTTGGGACGGAGTTTGTGTCATTTGTCGTGTGGAGTGCAACAGGATGCTTAAATATAATATTGAAAACGAAGAATACACGGTGCCTAAACCCAGAAGACGACTTTATTCATAATGAGAAGATGTTCAGTCTTCTGCATATCATTGTAAAGGACCACTGATACATGCAGATAACTAGCAAGCAGAAAACCAAGATTCTACCTTAACAAACTCAATAACATAGCCATTCCTGAGAAGAGACAGTCCATCAGTTGGTAAAGAAATTATCAGCCGATTACAGAACCCACATTCACAATATGGCTTGACACTATTCTCAACCAAATAAACCCAGGCCACTCTCTCACATTATATTCTTTTCAAGATCAATTTTAATATTGTCCTTCCTTATACATCTACATCTCCCAAACGATTTCTTTTCTTAGACTTTCTCACTAAAATTTATATGTATTTCTCATCTCCCTTATGCATGCTACATGTCCCACCCATTGAATCTTCCTTGATTTATATCCAAGGACATGAGAGCCACTTCCTCCCCAGAGCAGCACTCCTCTATCTGGCCCCTCAGAAAGAAATGGCTGCTTCCCATTTCCTGTTCTCAGTGTCCCTGAAAAGATCTGTCATTTCTTACACTTCTGTTTTTAACCTGTGCTGTATATTTGGGCCCTGCTTCCTCATCCTTCCCTTGGATTTGGTGACTCTGTTTACATTTCATTTAAGCTCCATTAATATTAATCTACTTTTAAGTTAAACAGTTGTGTGTTATAGGCCCAAATACTCACACAACAAATTGATATGTTTCTAAATGACGAAAATGAAAAGCTACTGCTATACCTGAACTTCTGAAGCATTAGCATAGCCACCCTGAGTTATCGGGACAGCCATCTGGGCAAGAAATACAGGTAAAGTGCCCAGTTTTCCAGGAAAAATGAAGTCAAATAGTGACCACAGTTCCTTCAAGTTATTCTGCATTGGTGAGCCAGACAAAATGAGCCGGTGGGGTGTACGAAACTGTTTCACTGCCAATGTCACCTGAACAATAAGCACAGAAAGTATTACTCAAATATTCATCCAGCTGACAGAGAACCAGGGTCTTAAAGCTACATAAACTGGGCAGATATACAGTAAAACCTCCATTTAATGTTCCTTTTTGGAGCAATGGATTTGAACTCCAAACTATAGAACATTTTAAACAGAGAAAATTTAACAATGAGTTGACTGAACTGAACATCAACGAGTGAAAACCTTATATTGAGAAACATTAAATGAGGGTTCCACTGCATATCACAATTCCAAACAGTACTTTAAACTTGATATTTCACACGTCACACTGTTGATTTTCACTAACACAAGTCACGTCTTTGTATCACTAAATAAATTTAATTCTAAAGACTTTTATTATTAAATAATTAACCAAAAGGATCTAAACTATACTGGAGTAACAATGTAAACAAAGAAATTTTCTCCGAATTCAGCTTATAGATTCAATTCCATTTGCATCTAACATGGACAGCTTAGGTGGAAATAACATGGAAGAACAGATTCATGATGCGAGCTTTTAAATACAAACACAATGAAAGCAATTACTGGGAAGACCATGACAACAGATGGGAATATCACTTATGGCAGCTCAATAATGAGTCATAACACCCCACAACTTTAAACTAAACAAAGAAAAAGAAATGGGGGACAGAAGGAGATAGGGCACTTTTACTGTTTTAATTCCTTTCACCCTGCATCCTCAATGAAAATGTGGCATACATACACAAACTGAATAAAAGGAATACAATTATTTTCTTACCTACCTGTGCATCTGGATTCCGAATCTTATGGCCTTCATCAAGAATGACATAATGCCAATCCCTGGCCAGCAAAGCCTCTTGATGTTGCACTGCGCCCACGTATGATGTCACCAGAATACAGCCAACAGAGTTCATCTGACATATTAATGACTCCCTTCTCCCTATGGCAGTCACATTTCAAACATTAAAAAAAAATTGTTTAAAACACAAAAAGTTTTTTAAATTTGCTTCAGGTCAGAATGATTCTGGCATTATCATCAAATTTAAGAACATGTCATCATAGGACTACCACTCATTGCAGGACCTGAAGAATATAGTCTTCCTTCAGCAGTTTACTTATTCTGCATATAAATCATTTCCCATTCTGAAACCAGAAGGTTCATCATCTGGGCCAGTCCAAATCCAGCTCACATCTCCAAAATTCATATACCTGGAATCTATTTTAATATCATCCCTCCACCTACATATGGATCTCTCACACTAAATTTTATGTGCATTTCTTATATCACCCATATGCTACATATTCTCCTACCTAAAATTTGTTGATTTATTTCTCTAACAACACTCAATCAGGCATACAAGTAGTAAAGCTCCCTGTTACACAATTTTCTCCAATTTCCAATTACAGCATCTCTCTTAGGTCTACTTGGAATTTTTTTCTCAGATACACACAATTCATACTGTCTAAGAGACAAAGATTTACACTCATACAAAACAGCTATTTAAGATTACAGTTTTGTATGTTTAATTTTTAAGAAAGAACATGGGATGCGAAAATATTCTGTTCTCAATGCCTGTATACATTTCCTGAGTCTACTGCGATATTAACACAAATTTTCAAATTAAAATCTCCATAAAGTTAAATTCAGTGCCAAAATTCCTTGAATATTTCACAGCCTTTGTTGACATCATCTTGTTTAGAGAATTTAACATGTTCCAGTTCCTACTATGCATTCTGGGCCACAGAATATATGAGACTAAAATATTAATTTTAAAACTGAATTTGATTATACTCTGCATCTAGGATTGCAACCGTGTAAGTTTGCAAAGAAACAGAATTAACACACAGTTCTCTAATATATTGAATATGTGAATACTGTGTAATTAAATAACACACATGCGCAATTCAAAATCACGTTGTCATGAGTGTTCATGGTCAACAGTTACCCCACCACCACCAACTTCAAGGCCCAAACCGTCTGGCATGCTCTGGCTCAACTCTTTTTTCACTTCTTCCTAGGCCAACCAAAAGCAGAAAATATATCCTGGCTCCTCCCCTTTCTACCTGAGAGGGGGTTCATGTACAAAGTGGAAGTTATTTGAGCTCCCCATAATTACCACCTCATCACAATTCAAAACTAAGTAACAAATAGGCTTAAGCAAAGACACATGAAACATATGGTAACAGATTTGATTAACACATTGCCAGGCAACAGCTCTGTAAACACGGTCCAACATGCGATAATAGAGGAAGCTGTGTTTTCTGTAGATCTGACTGATGCACCAATAGACTGGATGGATAGCGATCATGTGATATGTGTTTACTGTAGGTTCATGTCAATTCTGCGGCTATATAACGAAAGTCATGAGCTCTAAGGTCAGAGCAATTGGAACTATGAGTGAAGAAGAGTACAAGAGATCAGCCTACAAAGATTTAACATGTGATTTGAAGACTTTAAGTACGCTATAGTGTCATGGTATTCAGAGTGTGTTATTTATTGAGACTTTTGTAGTTCCTGTGTTATAAATTCATGAAGGCTAATGGAGATAGACTGAAGAAATTAGCATGGAGTACTTTGTAGTGTGAAAATCAGTAACAATGTAATAATTAAATTGTAGTTATGGCCTACGAGGGGTCATTAAACGCAATTACCAATCCAAATCATGTCTTTAGCCTCTGTGACATGTAAAAAAATGAAGGACACTGTTTAAAGCAATAATGTTTCTGACTTATATTTGGGAGATTTCTGTTTCAAATTTTATCCAGGACACCAATTATCCTGGATGATGTTTCCTGTAGTTTGCCTTAGATTCTCCAGGCAAATGCTGACACAGCATCTTAAATCAGGTCATTAACATTTCCTTTCATATCCTTTCCAATTCATTATTCACTATCACCCAATCTTTTGAAACTATATTGTCTGAGTTACTGACAAAACTTAAAGTATAGAAAATAACCAACTTGGGAAACACAATCTGATAAATGATGTACCTGAATTCAAAAGAAAGGCAAGAAATTTCCAACTTGCATATACAAGACAATGGAAGACTGTCCTCACCATTGAAGGAGCCAGACTCATGGAGGACAGCCACTCGGAAATGTGGCCACCACACATGGAATTCACGCACCCACTGATGCATCACTGTGGTGGGGCATATGATGAGACTTGGTCCCAACCCTCGGAAGCTGAAAAGAAACAAGTGTGGCCAAGTTCCATGCTTCATACTATTTAGTAATTGACATTCAATGAGAGAAATACTAACTTGCCATGGCGTGACAACAGCTTGCTGTAGCTCAGTCCAGCAAGGAATGCAATAACCTGCACAGTTTTGCCAAGACCCATCTCATCTCCCATGATGCCCCCACACCTCTGCTGGTTCAGTTCCCAAAGCCACTGTACTCCAACTTTTTGGTAACTGAAAGAAACAAAAAATTTACATATTATAAAAATTATGAAGCCTAACAATGTAACTATTTGTCTTATTATTATTATTATTGAGGGGGTGGGTTTCCCCATGCACCGCAACCAGTTGTTGATCTATTGTGTGTCCCCCTATAATTATTGTACTAGTCACCATGCCCTTCCAGTACTGGTGCTCGCTATCAGCCCCATTCTGCCAGCGAGGTTGGCCCTCTCTGGCAGTGGTCCCCGATACTTCCCCATCTACTGGAGGAATTGGGAACTACTTCGGCAGGAAACTTTTGCCTAATTTTGCTCAGAGGTCTCCTAGAGACGTGAGGATCTTTTACATGCCGTAAATCTACGACATGGGACACACGGCTTAAAGTCCCTCATGGAGGACTTGTTCCCTGAATTTTTCCATCCTTTTCCATGACCTCTGCCAGGTTTGAACCTGCATACCTTAAGTCATGAGGTGGGAACACTATTTGTCTTAGCTAAACCAAATGACTGACAGCACCAACACTGAAGTCCACAACTTAATAGAAAACAGAGACGGTTCAGGTAGCCCTTATCAACATAACCCATTTTCCAAAGTTTTACTTTAATAAATATCCCCCACCTTGTCATTACAAGATGTCAAATGGCAGGCCTTGATATGACGGCAGCAGTTATTCAGTTCCATTGCACAGATTTCTCATCAGCTACACATTTACAGAGTCTAGTGCACAAGGGAGAGTCTGTCCCATGAGGTTGGTTGCTTTGTTCATGGAAACGTCTACTACACTGAATCAATTTCAGTTTCACTATGTCCTTACTTAATAGTGAAGGTATTTTGGCTCAGAAATGACTGGAGCAGGTCGTCATATATTTCATGAGACTTCAAGAACTGTATTCTCAATGAAAAATTATGGGGTGCATGCATGTGTGCGTGTATGTGTGTAGACATATGTGCGTGCATATGTACATCTACATATATTCAGATATTGTTGTTGTTGTTTTAATGCAATTGGGTATTCACCCGGTGGCAGTAGATCTTACACTGTTACAGACAAGGAAAGATTATAACATAAAGGGAATACAATAAGCAAGGTACACATAGTGCAAATCCCAACATATAAAGCCATAAAAGGGCATGTGCTTGTGTTCGTTTCACTGCACTCGAACAAGGACACTTCACATTATTTAACTTTTTTCCATTCAAACTCCACCTAAGACCTCTTTACTTGTAACAGCTTTCCTATCCCTCTTCCTAAAAGCGTTTAGTTTATGGGGGACAGACGCTAGTATGCCTGCAGGTAAACTGTTCCAATCTTTTTTGGTCCTATTTACAAAACAATATTTGCATAATCATATACAAACATCAATCTTTCATCTGGCACCATCTTCATTCTGGGAATGTCTACATTTGTGTTCAGTGTCAGGGATTCAAAACACTGTTTATGTTTGAAGAATTGTGTAAGGTACTCAATATTCAACTGGTGCTGAAATCAATACCCCACATTTTTAAGTACATTCTAGTACAAGTTGTGTTCATTAAAACACATCAGTATGTCTTAAAAACAAACATTGCTGTGGGTACATAAAGCATATACCTCTGTAAAAAAAAATGCCTGATATATATAAAATGTCATTTCACACTTGAAGATTAACTTTATTTGCAACAAAATAAGCTGGTCACCATACATACAAGCTGCTGCTAATCCATCTATCCCTGATTTTGCAAAGTGAATTTTCCCTTAGGAAGTGAACAAAGGGAACTCCCATTCTCTTGTTTCACTTACTTGTATAGCTTAGACCAGAGATCTCTAGGCAATTTGTATCCTCCTTCCATTTCATGATCACCAGTTTGCTCTGCCTTAGCTTGCCTCCCTCTCTGCTCCTCCCATAGCTTCAATCGTTCATTGTAGTCTTCAATATTACCGTCATCAATCTCTTTTTTACCTACAGAGAACAACATAAAGCAACTTCTATTCATAACTGTTACAGAAGACAGACACGGTTAAGTATCATAACAGTAAAACAAGCATTGTGTAATATCAACACAAATTCAGCATAACAACATGCCATCATAAAATTAAATAAGCATGGCAGAAAGGGATAACTGGAACATGTGGTAAAACTGACAACATACACTACTACTACACTACTACGCTGACCATTGTAGTTGGTATGAGTATCAATAATCTTTCAGGAAAGATTGCTAAATTCCGTGCAAGTTCAAGAACTTCAAGAAACAAAGTAACTTTCATGATGTGAAAATTATGGATGATGCAGCATCAGAAGATCATGTCATGGCAGCAAGCTATCTTGATGAACTGAATAAGCTTACAGACAAAAAAGATTACTTTCCACAGCAAGCCTTTAATACCAATGAAAGATGCTCCTCTTATGGGAGAATGCCTGCATGTACATTCATCTTTCTCCTTCTCTGTCTCCTGTACATGCATACACATACACACACATGTCCATATTAAAAAGAGATAACTGTTATTACTTACAGGCTGGATACAATGCCCCAGATAAATCCTATCTGCATCTGCAGTTTTCTTAGACAGAATCTACCTAATCCCCAAGATGCTCAACTACAATTTATTCCAACATCATTTACTGGTACTGAGGTCGATAAAATGACACTTACTACTTCTGCGCCGCTTACATCTTGTCTCCTCATCAGAATAATCCCAGTCACTATCATCTGTCCCCCATTCTTCTGGATTCTGATGCTGACCCTGCCTCTGTCTGCGTTTCACTGGTAGCTGTCTCTTCTTTGTCGATATCTTTATACAACCACCGCTCTCTAAAAACAACAGGAATTATATGTGTACTAGAGTGTGCGAGTGTGCCTGACATAATAAATTTCATTACCATACAAATCTGTAGAACGACTGATTCTGTGATAATCCGAAAAAAATTAATACTAGTATCCTTACATCATATTCCCCTTAACATCTTGCTCTAAAACACTCTCAATTGAAGTTGTTCCATATTAACGAGACATAAGGTTCACAGTTATTTAAAGGAACATATTAAAGTGCTGTTGTGTATTGTTTAAACTTCAGTTTTCCTTTGGGGAGAAGGTGTTTGTTTGTTGAGGAGAAAGGTGATAGGGACATAACAGCAGTACACATTTACATAAAGTTGTAACTAAAATAAAAATAAACAGAATTAAAGTACATGCTCTAATTAATCAAGAAGCTCTTTGCTCAAAACCGAGAAATAAAAATAACATAATAGCTTCTCTGATTGTTTCATGGAAACTTTAAGGACAAAATGAAAATACATTATAACAACACAGAGTCATATTCTTAACATCATAACAGATGCTATTAACTTATAAGCTTCAAATAATTTTAATAGCTACTGTCCCTTCCAACTATTTGAACACCTCAACATAAAAATAAACTTATATATGAAATCAACATATTAGATTGTGACATGAGNTATTCTTAACATCATAACAGATGCTATTAACTTATAAGCTTCAAATAATTTTAATAGCTACTGTCCCTTCCAACTATTTGAACACCTCAACATAAAAATAAACATATATGAAATAAACATATTAGATTGTGACATGATGGCTGAAAGCCTGAATATTTGAAGAAGAAAAGTTATCCACTACTAGGCAACGGCCAGCAAACACGTTTCCATGGCAACAAAAACATGCTATCATGCCAACAGGTACGCATACAACAACAGAACTGCTGGAAGTGGTGTTTTCTATTGAGTCAGTGCTGAAGCTATATAAGCAGACCAGATAAGCCGTGTGCTTGAGTGTACATTCGCATGAGCATGCACACGTGTGAGTCAGTGATAGCCAGTGAGTGGACAGTTGTGGCAGACAGTCAAGAATGTAAGAAAGTTGCAGCCATGAAGAACTGTGATGGAGCTACCGGCCAGTGAGGAAAGGAGCTGCTGAACACAGAAGCTGAGGAATCTGCATTGTTGAGAGCTGTTACCCGCTAAATATTAGTGAAGACAAACTGAGAAGACTTAATACGTGCTATAGCAAATTGTAAAGTGTGTGAATTAGTGATAGAACTACAGTTACTTGTAGTTACAATTTGCAAGTAGTCTATAAATCCAGTTACCAATCCAAACCCCACATTTAGTCATTAATACATGACAATATAATAGTTTCAGTCATGACACATACAACCTCTTCAGCCTTAAAAATGTTGAGAAAATAATTCCACTGTGTCCTGCCAAGAAATAGAACGTAGCTTGGTAAGAGATACAACCACAGACCTTCAACATCTTTCAGCTCACTCTCTGAAGGCAAGTACTCGCTCCCTTCACTGTCTTCCTGGGCTGTCTGTTCAGATAGAAGTTTCCCTGGCTTCTTCTTCTGATCCCTATACAAGAAATTATAAACCCTAAACATTTGCACTCTCTTCACATTAAGTGGATATGAAACAGTTTACAGTGAAAATCCCATTTATGGTTCTTGTCAAGGCACAGAAGACTACACATGGAACAGAAAAACTTATTCTCATACACTGTATAGGAACATGACAGAAATTCTGTATCTCATATGGCAACAGTCATAACTGCACTTTTTAGATCCTCTTCTACTTATTATGACCACCTCTGTTGTCTAGTGGTTAGAGTTCCTGGCTACAGATCCAGAGGACTGGGTTTGATTCCCGGTGCTACCAAATTTCTTTCTGAGTAGTGGGTCTGGAATGGGGTACACTCAGCTTCTTGATAATTGAGGAGCTATTTCAAGGAAATAGCGGCTCCAGTCTAGAAAACCGAAATTAACAGTCGTGGGGATTTGTTGCGCTGACCACATGACACCCTCTATTCGCTAAAGTTGGCACTAACTTCGCCGACAAGTGGCGGTCGCTCGGTCAGTATAGTTCGCTTGCAGACTACAACAACAGAGTTTGGTTTCTACTTATTGCAGCACAGTGGAGGCCCAATTTAATGTTCCTTGATACAAAGTTTTCCTTCATTTCCTTAATATTTGGTGAACAGTACAAATTAGGTAGCCTTCTCTAGCCTCCTATCACTTTTCATTTCAGGTCCAAATACTTCACCAAACTCCCTGTTCACTATCACCTTCAATCCATAGTCTATTCTTAATGTGAGACACCAAGTTTCACAATCATACAAAATAATGGTTAAAATTACAGTACTGCTAGCATAGTTGGTTGAGGCACTGTCCTATAAGCTAGAAGGTTGTTGGATCAAATCCCGATGAGGTGGGTTTTTTCAATTTACCTAATCCTTCCAGCCACACTATGGCCCTGGGGTCAACTCAGCCTCTAACAGAAATGAGTACCATGAATATTCTTGGGAGTAAAGGGCAGCCGGCACATAAGACTGACAATCTTACCACCATCTATGAGCCAACTGTCTAGAAAATGTGGGAACCTCAACATTTCACAACCCTACAGGCCTCCACGGCTTGTTACAGGGGTACTTTTTTTTACTGTTACCTTCAATCTCAAAGTACAAAGCTCAGGTATTAATGGCTCATCTATAACCTTTACTCCACCAATTAATAATATTAAACACAAACAATACTTGCCACCAATTATTACTAGAATGTGTGCCAAGTTTCTCCTTTTTGGGTCGTTTCTTCGGCAGAAGGATACTTTTCTTCAATGGCGAATTTCTTTTATTTCCTTTTTTCTGGTCAGTCTCGCCATTCATTTCTCCACATACCTCTTCTTCAATTGCAGCATTATTTACCAGCGTCTTCTTCTTCTTCTTCTTCTTGATCCCACCCTTCTGCATCTTCTCAAGTTCTGCTTGACTCTGTAGATACTTCTCGAACTCTGTGAGATCTCTGTGGGATCTACCGCAACACAAACAGGACAGTATATAACTGAGCTCATGTGGGGTCAGCTGCAGTTACTGCAATTTGTACAGTTACTTGCACTGGTCAAGAATGGAACTTCTGCAGGTAGATTACAGTGAAACTTGCATTTAATATTCCTTGATATAAGGTGTTCCCTTATTTAATGTTCAAATTGAATGATCCTGAATCAATATTCTAAGCATTATATTTCCTACATTTTGGATCAAATCCACTGCATTCCTTAGAAATCTTAAATGGTGATTTTGCTGTAACTGCAATTCTGTAGCAATTATAAGCTACATGTGGTTAGATTTATGACTAAGAAGTGAGCTTTACGGCACATCATAACAACTAGCGGTAACTGAAAAAATTAACACAAATCCTCTATCTCATATATGTGAACCTATCAGGGAAGTTTTGGACATCACGTGATAAGAAACTATGCAATTTGTAGGGGTCACCTAGTACTGTCACAGCAATGAAATCTGGGTGGTTATGAAGCGCTGCAGATACAGATGAAATGGACAGACAGGCATAATTCTTATGGGAACTTATATAAAACAGCTACTTCACCATGCCATAGCTCAAGTAGTTACTCAACAGCTTTCTACTGCAGTGGACCGGGTTCAAACTGAGGTCAGGTCATGTGGGATTTGTGATGGACAAACTAGTAGTGGTGGTAAGTTTTCCCCGAGTACTTTGGTTTCCCTTGCCAATTCTTATGCCACTAACTACTCCACCACCACCACCACCATCATCATCATTATCCAGGGCTGGTACAATAGGCCAAATAGTGACCAATGTAACAAGAGGATTCAGTCTCATCCAACCCCAAGAAATCAGTAAAAAATGAAATTAAAACAGCTATTTGGATGACCAAGGAGACACACACATGACATATCTTAGGAAAATATGTTGTGGTGATGTCAACTGGACTGGAATTCACATATTCTTCTGCATTCTCCCTTCACGGGCCTTGTATACTGTGACATTATCATGGATCCTAGTTAAAGATTATGTACATAAAAGTCTCTTCCCATTCTCCATATGAAATACCTTTCTTTAAGTTGTAAAGTAATATGTGTAATGCTGTAATGCATTGTTACTCAACATAATAAAATGAAAACACAGCACCCAGGTTGTATCAAACATATTAGATGACACAAATATTCCAATTTTACCTGTCAGCAGATTTCAACTGGTTATCAAGAACACTTCCAAATGGAGTCATTTCTCCCAGTCTTATCTTACGTTCCCGTTCACTCTCTTGCAGTTGCTTCTCTTTCCTTAATGTGGCATCTGGAGATTTGGTAACCTGAAACAAAATAATAATATCTTCATTTGTCCCATTTCATCTTTTATTACATACCACACATTTAAGTCCTTTCCCTTCACATCATGACATATCTGAGCCTAATGGTTTGGGATCATTTTATGTGAAGACTAAAGTAGGGTTTCCCAAGCCTTTCAGAATATAAAAGTCTTTTAGTCTCAATGAAGACTGATGGAAATCAATGCCAAGCAAAAAGAATTAAAAGCATATATAATGAAGCTGTAAAAGTATATAGTGTACATTTTAACAGGTACTGAAATGCTAATGTTCTTCAAAATACTTACAAGAAAGAAGACGTAACTAACGTGACAAAAGGAGGTGATATTCTGTAGTTACAAATGTGCTTTATTTTAGATAAACTGATTCAATAAAACTATGATGAACGCTTTCCTTATAATAAAAAACAACCATTACACTCAGATGCAACTATTCAATTAGTTTATACTTACTCAAATTTTAACAAGTCAAAATTGTACAATGAATGAATAAACAATCATTATTAAGGCTTCACTGTTAGTATTATACGTGCTTAGCGTCCATTGCTAGACTACAGTAACCTACACAGCCGGCCACTGCTAAGCAAAAGCTGTGTAAACATGTTCCCATTATGAATGCATGGTCGACAATAGTGGCATTGTTGGAGAATAGACACAAAACAATAGAGAGACTAGAGAGACAGCGTTTTCTATGCAGTCTGCACTGAGGCTAAATGAGGCAGTCTGCAGTCTGCAGACAGTCTTCAGATGTGGCTTTCAAAATTCCTTACATATATGATTACATAATTAAATCATGCAAGACACAGGCAGAAGTAATCCTAAACCATTTAAATCCAAATATACATGATACTGGAAAGGAGAAGCCAGGCACAGAAGTATTAGAGGCTTAAACTTGGCAGCTGTCAGGCCTATGACTGTTCAGCTGACTAACTGCAGTTTTAGAAAATTCACGTAAGTTACAGAAAACATATCCATATATCTTGTATAAATGTTAATTAGTATAATTTAGTGACAAAGGGTGCACAGAATTCATAGCGACCTGAACGCTATGATAGTGCGGATATACTCATGCTGAAACTATGGCACAACAAATGTAGCACTTATGTAGGGAGACCAACCCCTCCGTCATCAAGGAGGAGGCCCAATTTCTGTGACTTTATAAATTTTACAACTTTACTGCTTCTTCCAGTATATTTCTGAATTATTATTTTGTTATTAGAATCTCTTTAAGAATAAATGTTTGCATACAAATGACCCCAAATAACATGATAACACAAATTTGAAGAAGACTGCTTCAAAATGGAACAATCAGACAATATATATAATACTTCAATGTGCATGCTAACTCTAATCCACCAAATCTCAAGCAAAAATTTCCCCCATGCCACATATGAAAGTTAGAAACATGTTCTCTGGCCATGCAACTTGAAACCTGTTACATTACATGCAAAACAAATCCTGTACAGAATAGTCTTCTTAATATATAATTTAAAATAGAGTGGGGAAAATGCGATTATCTTAATTTACAGCAGCTTGCTAAATGGGAGGATGCTCATTGGATGTTCTTTCACAGCTGACGAGCCACTCGAAGATTTTTATCTATCAATTTGTTGTGGCACACGTTTTTCAAGAAATGAAGACAAAGGATGGAAGCAACATGGTTCAGACCCAAAATACTTATGTAAAAACAGTAAATACAGAAGATACAAAAAAATTTGTCTCAAAAATGGCAAATGGTTTACAGCAGGAGTCCGCAAAAATAGCCGGTGGTTGCATGGAAATTAATGGTGGGCATACTTGAGAATCACTCCCCTAGTCCATCACATAACCACAATGGTATGTCGTAACTGATGAATTCACCTTAATCTTTGGAATACAATCTCTGATCTGCAGCAGTACCTACCCTGTTGCTTACAGTCAGTACAGTAAATATGACAGACCTCTTAGATCAGTGTTTCTCAACCGCTGGGCCATGGCCGGGTACAGGCCCTGGAATGAATTATATCGGGCCCTCGTCTTATAAAAAAAATTTACCGGGTTGCAGTCTCACAGAAGTTGAGAACCACTGTCTTATATTATTCAGCCTGATAATCAAACTGACACAGATTCCTTTATTAGGGAAACCTCTGGAAATTAATTACACACTTATACAGTAAATACAGTCTGGCAATCAGTAACTTAATATAAAAACATAGAGTCATAATGGATGAGTCATTGATTCACATCAGCTAAAAATTCATATTGCATTATACCCTCACCCTCTGGGGCTATGCTACAAGCCGGAAGGTCGCGGGTTCAAGTCCCAATGAGGTCATTGGATTTTTTCAATTGACCTAATCCTACCAGCCACACTATGGCCCTGGGGTCAACTCAGCCTCTAACAGAAATGAGTACCAGGAATTAATTAAATAATTTTCCTGGGGAGTAAAGCACGGCCGGTGAGTAAGGCTGACAAACTTACCGCCATCTGTGAGCCAATTGTCTAGATAAAGTGGGACCCTCAGCGTCTCACAACCCTATGGGCCTTCACGGCCTCTTACAGGGATAGCTTTTACTTTTACTTACTTTTACTTTTACCCTCACCCTCTATTTACAAGCCACATGTTCAAATAAAATTAAACTGCTTACATTTCGTCTTTGTGAACACCTGACTTGTGAACATCTGTACGAGTACATACAAACAGCATACAACACAATAAAATACAGTAGTATAAGTTCATATACTCCACTACTGTTAATTTCAATATTTTTAAGACTGACTTGAGTTACAAACTTGGCTTTGGAATGACTCATTCTTAAGTCCAGGATCATGTGTACTTACATAACTGTTATCTTCAGTGACAAGTCCACCCATATGAGTATGTTTCAGTTGCAAGGCATCAGAACGAGCTTTCAGTGTTGCTAACTGCTTCTGCCTAGTTTCAGCACTCTTCAGTACCGATATAGCTTGCTTTTGACCTGCAATTCCTGTTACTTTCAAAGCCTTCAGAAGTATTTCTGACTTCTTAAGCTCCTGCTTACAAGTTCTGAAAATATATAGCAAAGGGAATAAAATTATATTTCAAAGAACCATTTACCTTCTGTGCTTACATATAATAGCCTCAGCTTGGGTCTGTAGTCAGTTTTAGGATGTGAGATTCTCACAACACTGGTTACAAATAATTTTATATTCTGGGATGTAACACCATGTAGCTTGGTGAAAGTCCTGACTGAGCAAACTCTGCCTGCTTCATGCTGGTTTCTTGATTGGCTTACTCTTCAACCATGAAGGTGGGGGCGACATGTTACTCTACAACGTTACTTGACTTTCACCAGTCTACAGGGCATTACACCATAAGTTCAGTAGTTTCCAGAGACACTAGTTAACTTTTGTTCTGACTGACAGTAGCTTCAAATGAACCTTGTGCATCTGCATGGGTGTCATAAAAAAAAAGGTATCCCTGTAACAGGCCATGGAGGCCCATAGGGTTGTGAGATGTTGAGGTTTCCACATTTTCTAGACAATTGGTTCACAGAGGGTGGTGAGGTTGTCAGCCCTACCCTCCAGCCACCCTTTACCCCCAAGAATATTCCAAGAATATTCCTGGTACTCATTTCTGTTAGAGGCTGAGTGGACCCCAGGGCCATAGTGCAGCTGGAAGGATTAGGTCAATTGAAAAAAATCCATTGACCTCATCGGGACTTGAATCTGCAACCTTCCAGCTTGTAGCATAGTGCCTCAACCAACTATGTTACCGCGTGCTCCTGCACGGGTGTCATAGTTTGTAGAAATGAGCAGATTATAACTGTCCATTTCTATCCATGAAAACTGCCTTCTGGTCAAACAGTACTGCATGAAATTTATACTTAACAGTTATTCGGAAACATTATCAATCTAACTTAATTTTCATCTATACCATCTATATGCATGCTTGTTTTCTCCAAAAAATTTTCTTGGCTTGATTGAGCTTATAGTAAAAATCTTCAGTCATACAAGGATGACAGAATTTTTGTTAAAGCAACATATGTGAATAAAGTTCATTTGCACCACTGTATGGTAATCCAACAATGATGCCATTAGCCAGCAGCTTTATTTATCTATTTATTTATTTTTATTATCAGTCATCAATCCATTTAGGTACATAACCATTGGATACAGAAATTGTCAGTAGACTACATTGATATATCACATAAGATTGTCTTACCATAATGCAATGCAATGAATTGCAAGCTGGTATTCCTCCATTAGTTCTTTTATACTGTTATGTTTGCACTCTTTGTACAGATCACGACATGAGGGGCTGGAAGCCTAAACAGTTTACAAGAAAAGCCATCCATTGCTAGGCAATGGCCAGTGAACACGTCGTCACAGAAAATAACACACACTAATGCAGCACCAGATACACACACATCAATAAAAGAGCTGTTGGGCCATTGTTAGGCAACATGGTCTTTTCTATGCAGTGCAAGGCAATATACTGAGGACCCCAGGCTGGTTGCTGCAGATGAGTTATGAGGCAGTCACAGTTGTAGTCAAGAATGTGAAGGAGCTGCTTTCATGGGTTAGCAGTTGGGAACCACCAACCAGTGATGACAGAAGCTGAGGAATATGCATGGTTTGAAACCATTACCAGACAACTGCTAGTGGAGACAAACTGAGAAGACTTACTGTGTGCTATAGTGAATTGTAAAGTGTGTGAATTAGTGATAGCACTACAATTCTTTGTAGTTACAAGTTTTAAGAGTCCAACAAATCCAATTACCAATCCAAACGCCATGTCTAGTCACTACCACATGACAACATGTATAACTTTTTATTTGTATTAATGAAGCAACAGGAGATATTTATCTCCTGTGTCCTGGACTAGTGCTAAAATCCTCAGGTTTTGTATAAGATATGAAAGAGAAAGATTAATAAAATTACCTCATCTTTCATACATCTGATCAGGAATCAATGGTATATACTAAACAATCTGTATTATACATCATATGAAACCATAAAATTGGACTCAATAACACAGGTATGGATAAACATTAGACTACCCTAACTCCATGAAAAGTGAAAATGTCAAATGACCATAGGAGTATGAAAAGACACAAGAGGAGTATCTATGGTAGGAGAGAAAAGAATAAAGAAGGGTATGTCATAAGATCGACTAGCCTGGTTGACATGTCAGTGAATGCTGGTGACTAATTTCTGTAAAAGCAGTTTTAAATTATTTTACTCCTTCCATTTTCCTTACTCCTAATTGTTGCTATGATAATGCTAAAATAACTCACGTAATTTCATCTGCAACAGTCTTCATCTGTTCCTCTAGCTGTTTCTTATCAAGCTGTTCAAAAGCATGATCCACCTGCTGGAGGATCCCCTTTTCCAGCGTATCCTGGTCGTAAACTGACAACCCAAGAACCTGGAGTTCCGCAGCTTGGTCAGACAGCTGCACTTCTTCAATCTGGGTGCGGTCCACCTTTAACCAAAGTTTTCCTTGTGCTTAATTAATTAACCAGTTAAGTGATTATGACATCTTAACACATGAAGAAAGCAGTCTTCTGGGATTTGGCGCCGTGTATATGTGGTGTTAACCGACGTTTCGGAGGAACGTATCGCCCCCATCTTCAGGGTTGAAGAAAAAGTATAGGTAAATCTGCAAGCGACAACACCGTGAGACACGGTAAAGCAGACTGAAGAGGATACCGTTAGAGCAGAGAGGGAAGGGGATGAACTGCGAGTAAACAAGTGAAAGCAGTGGTGTGGGAGGGGTGGGGGAAGGGAGCCGGGACCAGTGTGATTTGTGTAGGGGAGAATATAGCAAGGTTAACTGGCTGGGCTTTAACTGTGAGCTGAGGGGGGGGGGTTGTTATGTTGGTTGGTCATGGCCTTGTGGCTTCCTGGATCTAGCGTCATATCCCGGTGGGGGGTTTTTAAGAGAACAGATAAGAGGTTTCCAAGACTTGCTGAGACGAAAACCATCCTCTCTGTTCATATTCCCTGGATGCAGTTCGATCTCAATGGCTTCCCTAATGATGCGATCCATATAGCGCGTCTTGGTGGCGAGGATGGAGGTATTCTGAAGCATTCAGCTGAAGTTGTGTGAAAAGATATTTTCATAAGTGAGAGCAAAAAAAAAAAAAAACTACATACAAGGACACTACCATCTCTCTGCTCACTGCTGTGAGTAGTCCAGCCTCCATCTACTTCCTTCTTTCTTTCGGGCAGGCACAAGTTCTAGAATGGGTTCTAACTATACATAAAGTACATTCATTCTAGTCACCTGAAATACACCAGGATCATCCACAACTGATATCTCTTGAACTTCATGATTTTTAGATTCAGTCTCAGCTGTTGCTGTCTTAGTATCTTGAGTATGTCCTCTGGATTCTTTCATCTTAGGCAAGTCAGTATCTTGACTTGATTTATTCCAAATCCTTGCAAGTTCAGATTCAGGTCCATCACTAATTTGTACCTGAACTGAGTTATCTAACTCTTCAGTTTCAAGTGGTCTACTATTTTCAGTGCATACTATATCTTGACAATGACCACTTTCCTCTAGTTTAATCTGGAATAAGAATTAAATAAGAAATACGAAAACTTTTTTAAGTCATAATTTTAATTAACATGCCTTCCAACTACTAAACTTGGGAATATGTCGTTCACGCTTATTAGTTAATAACTTCAGAACGAAAAAAAAATCAGGCACTAATTTGGGTGCTTCATGCAGGAATTAGGTTTATTTTGGGTGTAGTCATAAAAATATAAAATGCTTAGTGGTCTGGCATACAGGTTCAAAGACATGTGCAGTGGGTCATTCTATTTACTGCTTAACCAAAGCTTCACACTTCTAAATGTGGAACTGAATGATAAACAGTTCAAAAAATGCACATGCTTAAGTGGCCAATGCTTCTGCCTCAAACACCATCAAGTTCATATATTTCCATTGAATTCAAAACCGTTAATAAAAATGCATTTACAATTTCCCTCTCAAGTATTTTTTGAAAATAATATTGTAAATCTTCTTTTCCATATTCAACAAACGAAAAGAACACAAATGTATTACACCCCAAACTACACAAGTACCTGGAAAGTGGATTTTGATCCACCATCGTAGGTGTAAATCACCTCATCAGTTGACATGTCTCGCAAATTAAATTGTTTAAAAAGCTAATCGAGTTCGGAATATATTAAACGTATTCACGGATATAATGCTACTTTACAAGTATGAAGAACTATGCTTCATTGTTAGCACATTAATTCCAAAGTAACCTCATACTGAAATACAACACAACTGCAGCTCCCATTAAATATAAAAAGCCGCAAATTATAAACAAATTTCCGAACAATGTGTTTAGGTAAGGTTTCTCAAAACCCTAAGAGTTTATTTGTCAAATTTCCATTTGTGTTCAATTGAGAATTCCACAGCATCTACTACAATACTCCGTCAATAAACCACAACTGCACACTTCACGCAACTAGCCCGTGGCACTTCAATCCTATTGGCTGGTAACTTAGTCGTCGTGACGTCACGAAACAATAACTCCTTCCTCTATATTCAGCTGCAAGTCTATTGCTACAAAATGGTAATCGCCGGTGCCGAAAGCACAGTTGGTAAGAAGGTATGTTATCATAACCACCAGCATTGGTGTGCTGCCTGCAAAACAAGATTATCTGCACCACAGGAAATTTTCCAAGCACTGACACAGGAAATATAAGCGGATTAAACTTGGTGGTGGTCAACTGCTGTTGTAGCAGGATATGGCATGATCCAATGTACTGAGCCTGGACTGACAGAGAACTTGTGTATATTGTATTCACATTTAATAACATGTAAAATGTAAATTGTACATACTAACAACAGATATGACTGCTGACTGTGACTCAGGCAAATGACCGAGCCGTTCTCTCCTCATAGTGAGCGCCCCACATCAACAAACCTGTAACTGTCATACAGTAATAAATATCTGGTCTTAAGCCCCAGATGGGTGCTTTAGTCCAACTTACAGCTGACTGACATTACTTTGACTTTGGCTTGACTTGGAGAGTAGAAGCAGAGTAGCAGGGAATACAGAACAGTAGTCAGAAAGGAACAGGATTGAGTTCTGGAGATGACAATCAAAGGTGACTGAGAAATGACAAGAAAGGAATTAGAATGTGACAAGGCGACTTCATGTGTAATTTGAAGTTACAATGGGGCTGTGATAAAACTGTTGCCAGGGGATTGTTATCATTGAGTGGGTGATGCAGTGTTTTCCCTGGGTCAACACATGTTCCATGTTTGAAACTATCAAAGAGGTTGTCAACCTCTTCAACAAATGCAGCTGTTGCCAGGTATTCACTGCAACACCCTTCCAAAAAAAAAAAAAAACATTAAAAAGTAAATTGTGGGCTTCCTTACATGATGGACTACCATATTTCTTCAGATTGGAAAATAACATACATTACTTTACAAGGGCTTGCCATTATAAGAAATTTGTACATTTGATTATTTTATTCCTCATAGCAAAGTCTTCACCACCTTATTCTCTCAGAAATCATATTACTGATAGTGTGTTCTGCTCTTCAGGCATTTTTAATTGCCTTAAGCCAGTATTATATACATTATTACATATTCTATGTAACTTGTATATATATATACAGTTTAATATATAATGAATGATGACAACAATGAGATTTGTTTGATCACAACTTGGTTCTTGGGTCAGTAACTTTGAAAAGTAGTTCTCATTATTCTCATTAGCCATTTCTTTTATAACAGAATATAATTCATAGCATACAGTTCAGTACCCACTGGAGCATTGAGGCTTGCTGCAACAGTATGGCTTATTACCTGTACAGCCTAATTCACTTTCATAGCAATCTGTGCAGGGGGGTTGAGGTGGGCATCTGTCAGCTTGTACACCTGACAAAACAGTCTTAGTTGGTCGAGTTCATACAGTTTCAACATGTGTTCCCACTTAGCAATAACAGGAAGTTGATTGCCCAGATGCTCAGGCATCAACTGCACATCATATTTCAGAAGGTGGGGAGGATTATATACTGTTGCAATGTCTTCATTATGAAATCTGAAGAATTGTTTCCTCTTGGACACATCCAGCAGTTTCAAGGCCTTGACACTGTTGGCAGCTTGGCACCCACGTGACAGACAGTGGCAACCACCTTCAGGCCAGCATTCTGACAGGCATCAAGAACCTCATTCAAGTACTGCACCATCATCTCTGCCTTAGTGCTTCGACGAGTAAAGTAGTAAGCGACTGGTTGCGTCCACCTTCTATGCAGTATATGGATCATGAAAACTACAGCATGATTTACAATGTTCCATGTCCTGTCCCAACTTCCACATTCCTCAAAACTGTCAATGCACTCAAAATTCTGACTGCAAGGTTAAGTTCTCTCTGATTTACTTTTCATCAAACTTGAGAAAACAATATTGATCCCTACCAGACACTTTCTGCTGAGTGTGCTGAAGTGCATGAAACACATGAGCATTGATACCTGTCCTAAATGGAAGAGTATTCAGGACAGCTTGCAACAGTTGTCTGGATTGAAGGGGGAGTAACGTGTGGAGAAAGATATAGGATTTGGGCCTAGGATTAAGAAAGACAGAGCCAACAAAAAATTGCTGGCAGCCTCTAACTGAAAGATGAAATATTCTCCATCACTGGACCATTGTCCATATCACAGAGCTATTTAAACTTCTTTTCTGCGTTTTTTCTTTGACTTTGCAAAGTGCACTCTCTTTATTCTGAACAATAATAATAATTTTATTTAACATTCATCATAGTTACAAATTGCAACTCTCAAACAAGTCACATACATATACTACTATTCCAGTCTAATTGGCCTCATGCCCAATCAATTGAACGTCGTCATATATCACATAACATAACATTCAATTACAATTAAAATCACTCTCTTGGTATAATTAAAATATATTAGGTACAATCAAATTTACGACTACCTTCCATTTTAATACAATTTTCTTTTCCTTGATGTAAATTCTGAAAGTGAAGCCAAATTAAGTTCTTTTAGCAGAGACTGCTTTGCTCTATGCTTTGAGGGAGAACTTCTGACAACTGATATGTCTGAGTTTCCCATCAGAAGCATTTACAGAGCTTAAGGAAAAAAAGATATTTCTTTCACCATAAAGGTGTTGGCTGCTGCTGGTGGTTATACTACTGACATTTGAAAGGAATTGGAAGGACCGCCTGCATGCATAGGAACTGCTGTTGCAGGGTAGAGCACCAATCTTGTTGTAGGTGATGGGAGGTACAATATGAATATCATCTGCATGAATTATAACAATATTTGTTGTGCTGCATTCTGGCAGAATCAATAGTGCAGGATTTCCCAACTTTCCCTGCCCATATCAAAACCCTGTTAAAAGTAGAACTAATTGTCTCAAAACCTAGAAATAATTCATCAGTAAACTTACAAACATGGTGTCTCTGCTAATTTTGGGGTTATGTTAAACAGATTTAATGCACACATAGGCTAAACTTAATTTCTTCAATGGCTTAACCAACATATAATAAAACCATTACATCACAAATTAAAACAGACACACCATGGGAAAGCTGAAGAATTTGATTTCTTCCTGCCTACTAGATGACAGGCACTCACAGGCTGAGTGAACTTTTGTTCTCTCCATCTCTACTGCAAGAAGCAATACAAAAACTATAACACAAGCTCAGTACACTTAAAAGTTTCTCAAGATTCTACAGACCTTCTTTGGGCTAAACCAAAAATGCATAACATGTCATAACACAAATACAATTTCGATGAAATGTCATCAGAACAAAAATTTTTGGCTTGATATATATTTCTAATTTCATTCGGTGCAGTAGGTCTAACTAACATTCACATACACAAATAGTATGTCTAACATCGAGATATAACTTTGTGTGTAAACGTCGACTCCTGTTTCACAACCGCATCAAATCAAAATCCATACTTACCAATTTGCGTACAATACAATGCCATATTTTTCTAACATAAGAAATGAGGGAAACAAGACAACATGCTTAGTTCAATTGTTTCTGCCTTTATTACAGCTGAAATTACAGTAGTCAGCCACCATGGATGTCACCTGCAGGCATCTTTGCATAGGAATTGGAATTCTTAGGATATCTTTGATATCACATACAGGACAGGTGACTATAAATAAAATCCTAAAAGACACAGAATAACAAATGATACAGGAAGTTTTATATTAATTTAGGACAATTCATATAATAAAAATCTGCAGAAGCAGCTGTAAACCTGTCTTTAAAAAAGACATTAACAAATACACTTCCCAGTTTTTGTTGGGATGTTTACAGGATTTCACACTTCTGTACAATAATTACATCCAGTTCAAGGAAACCTTCATCTCTCAGACTCAAGTCTTGCTTGTCATAGTACTGTGCTTTCTCCATATGCATGTAACTGTACAACTGTACTTTATCAAAGTTTAAATTATATTCCATTTTCTTACTTAACAGAGATCTGACAAAAAATGTGGCGAGACCTGCATTGAGCAGAAAAAAAATGTCAAATATAGGTTTCTGGGAGGAAAAAAGTATGCAATCAATTCAAATATATCAAAATTAACTGTCTGCTATGTTATGCAACCTTTTCCATGTATAAGAATGTTCATGTTTATGCCAAAGGACACAACAGGAATGCTATCACGTTGGTACTGTTCCTGCTACATGTGTAATTGACTAGGAATACTACATTACTTGAAAAATCACCTTTCCTCAATCTCAGGCACTTGCTGAATCCATAATATATATGCATATATTAAAAAGAATAACCTGGGATCTGGAGATGACCACAAGGAGGCATTACAAATGCTCTACAATAGTGGACGGACATCATGGCAAGCAAAGTTCCAGGGACAACACTCACTCACCTCAAGCTAAAATTTATAGATTAATATGGCTGCCTCCAGAGAGCACAGTAAACTCTTATGTGAAGTTTCATCATCTTAGGTAAAACCTGCAGAATATAAGTGTATGTTACTTTATACTATTTACATAACTTTGTAATGATTTCTTATACACTTCCTATCAGACTATTATAATATATGTATAGTGATGTCAATAACATAAGCCTTAAAATCATACTTATTAATATGTACACACTTCATTATATAAGGTACAGTTGGCCCCAATTACCTCAGACAATCATGGGAGTACTGAAAAATGTATTATCCTATGTATTTGTTTGGTACCATTCAACAGGAGAATTGAGTGGTTTCTTAAATCAGCGCTTAGAAATAAAATGTAATCAAAATTTGCAGGGTTGGAAATTTTTTCTTAATAAATTACAACTTATGTGCCTAAAATGTACTAATATAGCTGAAATTGCCTATAGACTGTATAGTAGCAATGAAAAAATATCTTTCCAACAAAAGAGGAGGCAATTTTGTATCAGAAATTGCAAGATATTTCATATTCTAAATGTTACTATAAAATAGATATATGGTTCAATCATTTACTTTA